ATGGATATGCTCCGTATGAGTCGTCTATTAGAGTTACCAATCAATCCGCAAGAAGCGTCACAATTTCTAGTTGATCGCTAGCTAGGTAACTAGTGGTTATACGGGGGGGGGGGGTTTGGGTGGCGTTATAACCCATGTTACTGTGTATGTTAGCCAAGCCCCACGATAACTTTTTAGTGTTTAATTATACCGTACATACATTCAACCCCACTTGATTCATACTGTATGAGCAGGCATCATTCTTCAAGAATAGATTTTTAAGCATCTCTGCTCACTATTCTTCATCATGACATCTCTAGCTGACTGTACAGAGGTGGAGCGGCAGCTTCAGATCAGCAAAGACCTCTTTTTGTATGGGGAAAAGGCACTGGCTTTGGCCCTGCAGAATTGATCAAAGAATATCAATAAACAGTATCTTCTCAAGTAGAGAGAATGGTGAGTGGGTGGTACTGCTTTCTTGCATTCAGATTGATCATTCTAGTTTTAACTTCTATCTCTTCATACAGAATTTCTGCAAGGAAATTGGTTTTGAAATGAAAAAATGATGACAAAGAGAAAGCTGATTTGATTTCTAAAGGAGAAAATGCTTTATCATTCATTGCAAAGCTCTGTTTATAAAAGTAAAAGAGTTTGTACAAACAGGGATGGCAACACTGTGCTGCAGACTGTGAATAAAAATATAATCAAGCTATATATAACAGCTGTGATGAATTTGTAAAGATTTCAGAAGAGCAGAGAAATCAACTTCTCTGATCATTTATATAAACAACTGATCAGTGCAGTTCTTCATATGCATGAAATCAAGAAATCTGTATAAAAGCAGACACAGTATGTAAATTGAGAAGTCAATACTCTGCAGAATGAATACAATGAAAAAATAATAATTTATTTAATGAAATATTACTGAACTGATTGATATAAAAATAATCAAACATTTGTGATGAGTCATTTTTATATAAAGCTAAATTTTTTCATGAATTATAACATGCTTCTGTAAAGAGAAACATTTTATACAGCACAGCTGCCTGATGTTTTCACTTTTCAATTTTTAAATGAAAGGTTTATTTCATGTTGATTTATAATTCTCATTATAGATAATGATAAGTTCAACCAGCTGAGACAACTGAAATATATTACTGTGATGAAATATAAGAATTCTCCATTTTATACAATATCTTATCTAACATTCTATTTATTCTACTGCTGAAATATTGTATGAAAAAGTTTTTCAAACTTTCAAAGATGCTTTTTCTGATATGATATTTATCTTCTCTGTGAACAAAATCCCTTCAAACCTCTTTTATATAATACTCAGCTTCAATGAATCAATCATATATATGCAGCAGTTGAGCTTTTATCAAGTAAGAAGATTCATTTTGATTGAAATTAAAGATTCAAATATACTGAACTGAATATGAATAAGATGTTAGAGAATCAGATTTATTAAATTGATTAATGAAATAATGATGCTTTGATCAATTGCTATCTCATCAATATCTTCTGAGAGTTTATATGAGCAATGACAGAGTTTAAATCACAGATTCAGAGCAATTACTTTCTTTCTCAAATCATCATCCCCTCTTCAAAGCAGCTGAAGGCTGCCATCTAATCATAAGTAGATGTTTAACTATATAGATTTGATTTATATGAGAAATTGAATCAGAAACAGAGACAGATATAGAGAAGGGAAAAAAAAGCAGTAAAAATGAAAGAAATGAAGAAGATAGAGTAAAAATTGTTAAAAAATGAATAAGATTTAACAGTTCAGAGATTTCTGCAGCTGTTGAAACAGTTTTATACAATGATTTTTTAAAATTTTATGCTTCTGCAGAGGCAGTTCTCTGACCACTCTTTATAATCAAATACTCTCTTTATACAAGAGAATTATCAGAAATATACTCTTCAGATTGTTCAGATTCTTGAGACAGCTGTGAAGTTTCAGAAAATTAAGATTCAATGAATAGTATTTATCATTGCTGATCAGCTAAAAAATATGTAACAAAAGATGATTCAGTTTATTAATAAATGAAGTTATGAAAATCAACAGCTGCAGCAGAAGATGGCTTAGCAGCTTGCTGATTTAATTGATGATCAAATCATGTTTTTCATACAAACAATTTATCAAAACTCTATTGCTCAGAATTCAGTTATGAATTTGATTGTCATTTTCTCTGCTTTCTCTCTACTCTTCTCTTCTTCTACTCTTTTCAGAGACATCATACAGAGGTCAGTGAAGTCAGAGATGAAGATGAAACAATTATTATTTAATAATGTTAAATTTTTAAATCTGACAACCATACTTCTCATCTCTTCTTAGACAGAAAATGGCCATTTTTTTCTCTATATAATATAATCAATGTCTAATCTGTGATGAAAGTGAACCATTGATCTGAGAGATGATTCATCAATACAGAGTCTGAAAAATCAGAGAAGCAGTTGATGTAAGAGCTTTTCAAGAAGCAGATAATATTCTGTTAATGAAAAATCATTATCAATGAAATTCATATATATATGCTTTTTAATATAATTGTCAATGCTGCTGTGAAATCTCTGAAGCTGATCTGTCAGTGAGAAAAGCTCTCTTTTAATAAATTAACAGAGTTGTTGAAAAAACAGAAACAGCTTTAGAGAATCTGTCATTTTCTTTCTCTTTATACAGAGTTATTGAAACTTTGACTTTATATAATAATATAAATAAAGTGTATTTTTAGATGGATTAAAATGTACTGCTAGTTAATTAATACAGCTCTGCTCTTCATTGTATGAAGGTTTTCTACTATACAATGTATTCTCTCACTACAACTGACTATTATATAAAGACAACAGAGGGTGATGAGCTGATTGTATCATTATTATTATTCTTCCGTTATACTCGTATGCAAGCAGTGCTTATGACGAGTCCTTGTGTAATGTTAAATACAAGCAAGAGTTGGTTATACAGAAGGAATGCTTAGTGTTGAATGACGCCAAGAATATAACAGAAACATAGGAAAATTAATGAAAAACAGGATTTGGTACTCGCGATACAGGTTTCCAGCCCAGAAACAATAAGCTAAATCAGGTAGTAGGTTCGCCCGAAGGTACCTACTTGGCAAGTTCACATCCCTTTATTTTAGGAGCTTAGAAATTGGCTCCGGATGTAATGTTGTCCCCTTGTGGGTTTCGAACCCACGCGCCTTGGGTCCCCACGCCAAGGCGCTACCTGGTGGCCGCATTACCCATTCGGCCACCGGGGCTGATGAGCTGATTAATGAAAGTGAATGAATTAACAAATTGATGACGATGATAAAAGCAGTGAATTACATCTGCTTTTTTGCATTTACTCATCTTTTTATAATAATATTCTCTTCTTTCTCTTCTCTTCTTCTTTTCTTCTTCTTTCAACACATCATCATATCAATCATGTATGTACAAAACTTTGACAGATTGCTTTATCAATTAAATATCAAATATCACAACATTAACTGCTCTTTTTTCTGTATAATATAAAGTTTTTTTTCTTTTCAATCTCTCTAATTTTCAGAGTTCTCATCACATTCTTTTTATAACTGATCAACAGTTGAATCTTTTTATTCACAGTTCATAATTCAGAGCAATTCTGACTCTTTCAGAGCAAGATATACTTTTTATACAAAGCAGTATGATAGAGTTGCAGATTTGAAGCTATTAGTTATTATATATTCATATTATTTTCATTCAATCTCATAATTAAACAGAGTCACATGCATGTTTTATCTGCTGAAGTGCCCATTCAAATCTTCAACCATTCTCAAAATGCTGTCATCTGTCTGATCACTTTGATGAAGTTTGTGGCAATTGCAAATGATGTGATCATGCCATTCACTGCTCTGTATAAGATGGGAAAAAGGTGAAGGAGATAGAAATTATAAATGATGATAAAAAGAATGACTCTCAACAATGAATGAAGAGTCTCTCTGAACAGTAGCTGTTCATAACTGATTTAACATTTGCTATTTCTATAATTCTTGATTAACTTTCTTTTTCTGATATGTATAATCTCTTTTTTTTTTTTCTTTCTCTTTCTCTTTCTCTTCTGAAAAGGCAGGTATATATTATTTCTATTTATTTCAATCATATAAAATTTGTGTATGACATTTAGACATGATCTGCACCTCTATGTTGGTGTCTAAAATTAGTAGCTCATATGGTGAAGTCAAGCAGATCATATAAATAGAAGAAAGATAGAGGAAAGATATCTAGCTAGCTAGTCAGATCTATATTAATCAATTTTTATCCACAATATTTTTCTTCAGCCAATCATCTTGTACAGAGCTTCAATAACTGTCAAGATAACATGCCAAGCAGACCTCCTCTGTATAACTCAGTTATCCAGGGGGGGTTTGGCTGGGGTGGCGTCCGGGATAACCTGGTTATTTGGGGGGGTCATGTTATAACGCCGCTAACGCGCCCCGTAGATAACTATGATGCTGTAGAAGTTAGGTGATTTTGCAACATCATTCATATTAATCAATCAATAAGCAAATGCACAGTAACATCGATATGCAGATCACCAGCCGCGCTTCATTGACTACCATGCATGATGCGGAAGTTCACAAGGGGATAGTGCTATAAAATCACAACACTACTGCAAGCTACAACAAGACACCGTTCTTTGATTACCCTCAACAAAGTCGATACCATATATCCTGCGGCACAGTTTCATGCATCCCTAAAATAGGGGAGTGACGGCTATCTCCTCATATATCCACATGGTCCAAGCGGAAGGGGAGGACGACAAAAGAATAGATATCAAAAGTGTCAACAAAATGGCATATAAGAAGGCACAGTTTCCCCTGAAATCCTGAGGCAATCAAGAAATACTTACCGAGCAAAACTTCCCAATTCCAATCCCCGCGAGCCATTACACGTTGTCACTATATCTTTATAGATCACAATGTTCAAACTCACAAAGTTTAATGATATTAAAGCTTCTCCCTCTTCACCCATTCACCCCCAAACACCTCTAGATAGTTGTAACCATGCAAACCCTCCGCAGCCCGTTACCATGTATGTATGTATGTATAGGTTTAACGTCCCGGAGAAAACACGGGCAGCGCCCGTGTTTCAGAAGCCTCCCGAAGGGCATGGAGACGTGCTACGCTGGAGAGATTTCTATGTACACAGAGAGAGAAAACAGAATCCAGGCGGCAACTCTTGAGAAGACTCAGCTCATTGCAAAGGATTTTTCTGAGCTGCGCATCCACTTCTGGCCCGACGTATGGCCATTCATGGTGGGGTTATAGTGTGGTTCCTTGAGGGGACCGCCGCTGCCGTGCCTGGAAGGCTTTATAGTGAGCAGAGAGGGATACCTCTCTCAGTTGATCAGAAAGCTGTCTGTGCTTCTAACATCAGAAGAAAGACAGACAAGATAAATAATGAAAGAAAGAGAGGGAAAGTGTGTGTTCTGAAATGAAAAGAATAAAAGAGAGAGGTGAAGGAAAGACTGTGTCATCTGCAACACCTTGCAGTCACGTGATCTGGCACAGACCCGGGGGAAAAGAGAGGGGAGAGCACTGAAGAAGGTTGTGGAAGGAAAAGAGCAGAGAATGAAGAGAGAGCAAAGAAAAGAAGGAAGAAGAAGCATTTGAGCCGATAGAGACAAGGGCAAACGAGAGGAAAACAAAGCAGAGTACGCGTAGATACAATGCCGGCAGTCAAAACCATATCAGCTGAGTCAGACACGTAGACCGTACTGATTACACCACAGATAATTGAGACAGATGAGCCTAGTTGTGCTATCTGTACTGTCTGCATAGACTGTGATGTCCCTGGCAGTTGCACTAGCTACCGTGGGTGTACTCAGCAGGCCGGCCTCGTGGAACTGCTGCGGGGGTTGTCAGATGGTTTGCAGCCAGCCGGCTGCGTTACCTTGTGCAGTACCGTGTGTAGAACTGCGTGCAGTCCAGCAGTTCTACAAAGTCTGTAGGGGTCAGAGACCCTAGATAGGCAACAGCTGTCGCCCGGTTGTGTGGCCGTGCTGCTGGCCTCTTGGGCCAGTGAAGAAAGTGCCTCTGTGAGTGTCGACAGAGCACCAAATGTTCTGGGCTCTTGTTGTGTCCACAGACACAGGTGAGCCTCGCATCTGCATGCTGGAAACGCCTGTGGTACCAGGAGAAGTCCCCATGAGAGGAGCGGAGTGCGAGCCAGCGGTGAAGGGCATGCCGTGGCATGGTGAGCTCCGGAGGGGCCTTCACTTGGTATTCCACAGTCGGCCTGCTGAAACTCCAGCCCCGGTACCAGTCAGAGAGCTTGCCACAGGCTCCACTCCACCACTTTCGCCTTGCCTCTTGGCTGAGCTGCTTGGCCACTGTGCGGACCCCACTGACTGTGGGTGTGGCCTCGAGACCATAGGCTGGGGCCGCAGTGGATGAGACTGCCCGCTTAGCCAAGCGGTCTGCTTCCTCATTGCCCTCTATCCCCATATGCCCAGGAGCCCATTTCAGGCCGACATTGTGCTGTCTGAGGAGCTCATGGCAGCGGTTGTAGGCCCAGTTTGAGGAGGCTGCTGCACTGCCCCGTATGCCCCAGATGACTGAGGTGTTGTCGAGGCAGAGCCAGATCTGAGGGTTGCTGCTGTCCTCTGTGACACAAGGTAGGAGCTTCACGGCGCACTCCAATGCCCGGCAGGCACCAACTGCCTCAGCGTCGAAGACATGTGACATAGGGCTCAGCGCAGCTGAGAAGCTGGCCAGCTGTTTATTTCCCTGATAGACTATGAAGCCATAGCCCACCTGCCTGCTGTTGTCAAGGCTCCGTTCTGATCCATCTGAGAAAACATATAGATCTGTTGAGGGTTGACTTCTCCACCATTCCTTGAATGCCTGAGCAGCACTCTTTTTGTCTACACCCTCTGTGGGGTCTGTCCCGCATCCCTCTGAGTAGTGTGGGATGGCAAGTGTGGGTCTATTGACTGCAGGTAGCAGCGCCCCCAACCGCTGGATCTTGGTCTTTGAGCGCTGCCGGGTTCCAGCCCCTCTTCCTCGTGTGATCATTGGAGGTGCTATCCGTGAAGCCAGTGGGTGCTTCTCATCCACCACCTGAAGCCTTGTCGCGAATCGAATTTTGGCCTCCTCCAGAGCTACCATTGCTGATGGGAGCCCAGCATCCCGGTATAGGGCAGCGATGGGCGTTGTACGGAAAACTGGGAGGACCCCTCTGGCTGCCATAGTAAGCACCTTCTCAACTGTCCCCACATGCCATCCCAGGCGGGAGCTAACCTCCCCACTCCTGCCCGTGTGCCTTGCTGGCTGCGTGCGGCCGCCGTACCAGGCCTCTGTGCCATAGAGCAGTGAGGGAACCACGCAGGTGGTGACCGCCTTCCGCAGAGCGTCTGCTGGGGGCCCGTCTCTGGTCTTTCCCAGACTCCGGATGTGCTGGGCTACGGCCCTTGCCTTCTTTGCCCGGGTGGAGACATGTGGTCTCCAGGTGAGCCTTCTGTCGAAGTGTACACCCAGCCAGCGAAGTGCTGGCTCCTGTCCAGCTGGGGCAGTAACAGGGTGAACAGTGAGGTCCTCAGACACAACTACTGCTGGTGCCTCATTGTGTCGCTTTCTTGTAAGATGGATCATCTCAAGTTTCTCTGGTGCGAAGGCCACCTTGTTTATCTCCCCCCACCTCAGAATACTCTGTATATCCTGTCTGAGAAGGGTGGCATTGTTGTCAAGTGAGTGGGTCGCCCGCCAGATGTTCAGATCATCCGCATAGCCAAAGCGCAACTCCGAGTTTTGCCACAGCAGCTCTGCCAGGTACAGAAGGAACAGTATTGGTGACAAAGGAGACCCCTGTGGCGTGCCACATTGCATCTGATGTGCTGCTGTGGTGGTCCCCTCCAGCCGGACCTGAGCTCTGCGTTCAGTGAGGAAACTGTCAATGAGCTGCAGCAGCTCGCGTGGCCACCCCTGTTGCGCCATCCGCTGAAGCAGCCGCCTGCGCAGCACAGCATCAAAGGCACCCTGCACATCCATTGTGACCATGGACACTTCTTTGTTTTGTGCGAAGGCTGCCTCCACCTCATGAGTGAAAGCAGCTACCAGGTCCATTGCAGATCGTCTGGGCAGCGCCCCCCCATGCTGTGGGCTGACCATGCCGTGAATGAGTGCCGTGTAGGCCAGTCGCCTTGCAATGATGCGTTCCAGCCCTTTGGAGATTACTGAAAGCAGGGCAATGGGCCTCCAGGAGCGGACTGAGCTTCTATCTCTCTTACCCACCTTGGGTATCATTGCCACCTCTGCCAGTTTCCAGGCTCGTGGGAAGTGGCAGAGCCGGAGGCAGCAGTTGTATAGCTGCTGTATAAAGAGGGACACATGCTGCCAGCATGCTTTGAGCATCCGCACTGTGATTCCATCCGTGCCTGGGGAGGTGCTCTGTACCCCAATGGTGTTGCGCTCCACCTCCTCCATCCCAACCCGGGGGTAGCCCGTTACCATGAAACAACTGCAAGAACTTTTCATAGATGTCCTTCATCAAGTCAAGCAGTCATCAAATTCTTTGAAGCTAATTGAAGATATTAAATTAAAGAAAAATAAGAATAAAGAAGGCAAGAAGGGGAAAGCTTGAGCATCAAAATTCAAATATCAGAAAGTTCACAAAGTGTACATTTCATCATTCAATCTCTTAGTTCCTTTTATATTCACTGTCAGTTAGATGGAACAAGAACAACTCAAAGTATAAAATTGTAAACTCTGTGAAAAAGGATAAAGCATTTGATTATTTTGATCAGTATATATTTGTTGTCTGAAAGTAGCTTGATAAGAAATATAATTTCAAATCCTATTCACATTTAATTACCGACAGCATATCAGACAGAATGATCAAGAAAATTAAGATTTTTATTGATATTAAATCTGAAGCATTGTTTGATGTGCTGAGAGAAATTATGAGAGATGTTAAAGCTATCAATTTGTATGAGAATAAGCCTTCAATATTGTTTCACTCTTCTATTCAATTTCATTAAAGTAGTTATTAATTCAATATCAGATTGAGCAAAACTTTCTATACAACTTTTTTTTCAATTTTAAAAAATACATTATCAAAAAAAAGATGAAATCATGCAGATTCATACGTGAAGCATGTGAATCTGCTCATTAAATATAGCAAAGAAATTTATACCTCCATAATTCAGAGGTTTTCACCATTTTTGAAAAAGAGAGAAATCATATACAATTTGCTTTAAATCATTTTCAAATCAAAGAGAACTGACAAGCTGTGATGTGTTATATTCAATGCTAAAGAAGAGAAAATGAAAATGAATGAAATTGAATATTTTAATTTAAATTATTGCTATCTGAATTTTGACAGTGAAGTATTCAATGAAGTTAATACTCAGTTGAAGATTGTTGAGTTCCACAGACTTAGATTCATTCACACTCTCAAAATCTTTTCTTTTAATCACCATCTCAATAAATGAGATGTCATAATGTTTATATAGCATTTCATCTTTATTCTTTCTTTCACTCTGTTTTTTTCATATTTTATTTTTATTTTTTCTTTCATTTTACTTTTTTCATTTCTGCATCATTATTCCTTTTATTCTTTCTGTATGCTGCGATCACTCCTTCCTTTGGAGTAGATCGCTGACAGAATGACTATGTATATATAAAGGAGTTCACCCACTATTCTAGATTAGAAAAACTTAGACATGAATTATTCTATCAATTGAACGGTGTACGCCATAGTCTATCATTAACTTCTGTTAAAAATTTTACAATTTGAAGAGTCAGCATATTCATCACTGCTGTGGCTATGCTTTCTTCAAAATGTGAAGAGAAATAATTTAGATTTGTATCAACAATTGTGTCATGATTAATTCAGCCTTCTTTCATCAGATGAATCTGAACTACATCAAGCTGTAAATAAATTAATAAAATAAATTCTATATAACTAATGATGATGCTTCTTCTTCCTTCTTTTCTTTGCTCTCTCTGTCATTCTCTGCTCTTTTCCTGTCACAACCTTCTTCAGTGCTCTCTCCTTCATTATTTATCTTGTCTGTCTTTCTTCTGATGTTAGAAGCACAGACAGCTTTCTGATCAACTGAGAGAGGTATCCCTCTCTGCTCACTATAAAGCCTTCCAGGCACGGCAGCGGCGGTCCCCTCAGGGAACCACACTATAGCCCCACCATGAATGGCCATACGTCGGGCCAGAAGTGGATGCGCAGCTCAGAAAAATCCTTTGCAATGAGCTGAGTCTTCTCAAGAGTTGCCACCTGAATTCTGTTTTCTCTCTCTGTGTACATAGAAATCTCTCTAGCGTAGCACGTCTCCATGCCCTTTAATTTTTCTATGTATCTGTTATATTTTTAATGTCATTTAACACTAAGCATTCCTTCTGTATAATTAACTTTTGTCTGTATTTAACATTACACAAGGACTCATCATAAGCACTGCTTGCATACGAGTATAATGGAAGAATAATAATAATAATAATCTCAATCAAGTTGAATGATCATCTAATCTCTTTAAAAATTTCAAGATTTCAAAGCAGTAAAGAGATATGCTTTTAACTTTAGCTAGAGCTCAATTAAATCTGATGTTTAATGTTTTCTTTGATGACTTTATTATTGATAAAAAATGTGGTTTCAATATGCTTTTATAATAAGTGTCTGCATTCTGACTTAGTGAATAAAGCATTCTGGTTTTAATGTCAGTGAATATTTAGATTTTGAAAATATTAACAAATCATTTGCAGTGCTCTCTTTATAAAGTATGTGTGGCGTTCCGCCCTTAGTCTCCCTTCCGCCCTGCTCCTTCCGTATTATTCCTCCTATTCTTCCCGTATGCTGCTATCGCTCCTTCCTCTGGATTGGATCGCTGACGGGATGACTACGTATATATATAGGGGCGTTCGCCCACCCTTCTAGGTTAGAGAAACTCAGACATGAATTATCCTACCAATTGAACGGCGTACGCCATAGTATGTCTTTAATTCATCTGAGCAAAACTTAAAGATTAATGTTACATTTTAAATATCTGCAGATAAATTAATCAGAGATAGATGTTTGAAAAATCATGTTTTCAATATATTTAAAATTGCTAGCCATTTCAATGCTATTTTTCTTGTGAATGAAATCAATATCTTTTTGTATGAGTGCTTTGTTAATGAAGTTTACAATTATTCTATGACAATCTTTCTCTGCAAATTTGAATATTTTGAGAAAGTTTTGTTTCTCATTATAAACTGTGTTGATGAGTTTGATGATGCTATTCTCAGCAGAATTTATTATAAGCTGAAGTATGAAATTTTGAACTGAGAATTTCAGAGAGATGTCTGAAAAAGTTTTCTTTTAAAATCATGCATGTATAAAGGAAGTTTGCAGCTGTTCAGTGATGAGCTATATAAATTGAAGGATTTGAATTTCAGTGTCTGAAAGATATGTGATGAAATGCTCATCATTCATATCTCATCTCTAATTGTATATTCATCTTCAGATCAGAAATCTGATTATGATCATTCATACATTTGCTATTACCAGTAAAAATTGTGTGTTTTACACTCATTTAAAGCAGATCACAAAATTGAATAAGAAATTCATTTGCATATTTAATTGCATGAAACATTTCAAGATCATGTACAATTAAAATGCTATAATTTCAGAAGTATATAATCCGCCTTTTAATTTTATTTGATATGAATGAATAAATGATGAGATTTTTTAATATCTGATTTAATTTAATTCTTCTTATACTTAACTATCATGTTTGTTTCATATTTGTGAAAATTGTTTGTGAATGAGAAATTAATCTATTAATTTGCTTTATTCTATTTTTCAGTAATTATATCTGATAACAGTTTTATATAAATGATCAATCTGAGAGGCTCTTTAATGTTTTGCTTGATGAGATGTTAATTTGAAATCTATCTTCTCAGCAGACAGACTGAAACAGATTTCTATATATTCTCTTCAACTCTCATATTTGTGAAGCTCATTCATCAAATATTCTATCTGTGAAAATTAATATACTTTGTTCTTTTTTTTTTTCTTTATGTTTTTCTATCAGTAATTATATCTGATGACAATGCTATTTGTTATAATGCTGAATCTTAATGAGATTCGCCTTGTTTGATTTTTTATTGTGATTCAATAATTGATGAAAGTTAGTCAAATTTTGTAAACATCACTAGTCATACATCAACTGGAAGTGTGAAGGGTGTACTGTAGATGTCATATGAATATCCCCTCTGTTTATAAACTCTGAGCAGGTATTTAGCTCAGTTAACATCTTCTGTAAATGGTGCAGTTTCTCACAATCACTTCAAGTCTGTCTTCAGAGGGAACATTAGCATAGAACAGATGGTCTGAGGCATATAAAGCCAGCCCTCTTCCCACTTTGCTTCCATCGCTCCATTTCCCCGAGCAAGAATGAAACAGAGGCATAGCCGGGGATATTCCTGTCACGGGACCAGGCGTGGTGACTCAGCAAACGCGTTTTTTTTTCAACATCCAGATCAAAATTTTTAGAATGAAGAGTCGGTCAAAGGCATGGTGGATTAAAGGACAAAACAAGAGCAATTCACGCTATCAATACACTGAATCTCCATTAGTTTACAGCATCTGATAATGTGCATCTTGCATCTTTAGTTTAAGCGTACGTCTGGGTTTCTAGGTATAGTTTACCAACATTATCAATATCCGGGTCATCCACCAGCCTCATCTTAGTGAGCCTAAGTCGGCACTGAACCCCGCCTGGGACCTGGCCAAGGATATTTATCTCAGCAATCTCTGCTGTTTTTTTCTTTTCCACTTATTCTCCTTTCACAGTGACGGCGCCCACCTGATCGCATTCTACCCACATTTCTTTCATCGCTTACATGCGAAGTCTGCTGTCATATCCGCCTTCTATAACAAAAGGCGCACTGTGCGGCATCCTCCTTCCTGCCTCCTCACAGTCACCATGACAGTTAATCTAGCGTGCCTCCCACTTGATATTGTTCCCATGATCCTTAAGAACCTACCTGATTTTGCAGCTTTATTTTCAGCTGTCCAGACCTGTCGATGTTTCTACTCTGTATTCCAAGACTGCAGCCGCCAGATTTTGAAAACAATATTTTTGAATCAATGTCGTTCCGTGGAGAAGTACAGCTGGGGCAAGGTTTTTCGGGAGCTGGTTTTTATCGTTTGCAAAAATTTCGTGGCAAGATATGCTGCTCGCTTCATCCTTGAGACGGCCTGGAAGTGGTTTTTGCAGATGGAACAAGAGGAGGTGCTGATACCTATTGCAGTGGGTTTGGCCCATTCCTATGTTCTTAGCGAGCGCGTCGATGATGCAATCGACCTTCTTGAAAATATCTGCCGTGGTGCATGCCCCTTTGGGTAGTCGATGCCTTCCAAAGGCACCTGGCGTCTCTTTAAAGAGGTGCAGAGCTGGAAGGCTATGACACTATACCCTGCTCTACATCGGCTAGCAAATCTATACGCTGAGAAGGGCTGTGATAATGGATCAATCCCGAGAATTCTACAGAGTCGCCGACTACAGTATGAGAAACTGCCAACGGTCTTGATTGAGGAAACAAGAATCACCTACTCGACCGACTCCAAACTTTTAGTTCAGAGGATACCTTGGTGGACGGTATTATAGGCTACGAGGACTACCGCGCTGGGAAGCAGCTCCGGTGGTCTGACATTCCTCTTGTTGTGCGAGCTTGCCAGCTGCCTCACCCCGGTCTCATTTGGAGCCATATTCCTTGAGAATAAAACACGCCTCAAATTGTTGACCATGCGCCGGTTGTGTTCCCAAATAGGGTGTGCGCAGGCAAAGGAGGAACCCCGGGATATGTGGACTGACAAGCGAATGCGATCTCATTCCTGGCATTACCGGCGAAATCGCGGTTTAAAGTAAAAGAATAATATCAGATTTTAGGTATTATAATGGCAGTAAATGGGCGTTGGAAGTTATTCGAGGTATCAATGCTGCTAGTTTCTTGTGATATCAAACCGTTGGGTAGAATAATATCAGGTCGTCCATTACAGCGTGATGGAACTATGCCTTGTTTGATTTTCTGCCGTACATGCGTTTTTTGTTCCTCTTTGGAAAGGTCAATAATTTATGGAAGGTTAGTTAAATCAAGAGACAATGGTCGCAATTAATAGCGCTTAGTTGTCCAAAAATACTTACTGCTTGTCATTTGGAAAGATGGATCTATGTATTGGTAGGATGCCTTGAGAATCTCATGTTTTGCTAGGATAGGGAACCAGCTATGTGTATGTGCGGGGTGGGTGTCGGGGGGGTGTGGCGTTTGGGTGGGGGGTTTCGTGCGGGGGTTTCTTTCTGCAGTTTGGCTCAAAATACGAAGCTTGATTCTTCGTGCGTCCATGTCGGGAGGTCGGGGTGACACAGGTTGAGTTTGAGTCAATGTCCACGGCGAAATTTCTCCAATACAATGGTCTGAACAGTCGTCAAGTTGGGAATCTGACCCAATGTCAGATAATGAATGTTCAGGTTCGATCCCTCCTCTATCTTCTTCAATCCACGGCGTTCCAGTAATAATTGAGCCTGGATTCAACAACAACTCTTCAACACTCGTGTATAGCTCGCTCGATTTCCATATCTCATGTAGCCTTTCTGACGCCCTTTCATTGTTCCACAGGGAGAAAAGCTCTTGTATCTGAGAGGATTCGACTTCTTTCGATCCCAGCATCTCAAGTATCCCCTCCTCTAGGCCCTCGATGTTGGATATTGACAAAGCCCAAAGCTTCTCCAGGCCGCGGACGTAAGTAACCCTCTGGCTGCCCTCGTTTCTTTGCGGTGGGGTCGTACGAGCAATCATGGCCGGATTCTCAACATGCCACGCATGCTGGGCGTTGTCCGTCACAACAATACTTCTTGCCTCGACATCAATCACAGGCCTTCGATACTCGCTGCCGCTTGCTGCCGCTGTGTCGTGTTTCATGATCCATATTATCACGGCTTTTTTCCAGCCACGGACTTTTGTCTTCACCTGAGGTATGAGGCACAGGAGATTGCATGTGTAAAAACAAACGACAAATTGGGGGAAAGAAGGGGGAGAATGAAAACTAAGAGCTGCGCATCCAGCGTAGTGATATCTGAAGCGTGTCTTCTCCACCAACAAGTTCCCCAGGTAAAGCCTTGTGATTAACCATGCTCTCCAGCCAGTTATCATCTATACTCAGTAAATTAGAGGCTGCCAAAAGTCGTCCATACAGCAAAGTGAGGGAGTCATCTGCTGTTGGGTTTCCAGCTTGGATCAGCATAGCGGCAAGATCATTGGACCTTTAAAAAAACACGATTAAGCCGGCAGAAATGCCGGATTTCAGGCGTCAGCCGTTAGTTCCTGGGTATTTGGTATCATCATTTTGGCCCTCGTCGCCTGGTCTATCAGAAGGATGACCTCACGGCTGTAAGAATCGGCTGCTGGAAGGCTGAAGTTGCGAGTACAATCCGCTAGTTTCCACCAGGTTGGATCTTAGCGATTCTTCTGACGACCGCCTTGATATAATTATTAAGGTGGATAGGGCCGAAGAAAGTGTCCCTGAAGCCCGCCTTCATGCATACCGGTCAGGTTCAAGTAGTGGTCGGTTTCTAGAGTCCCTCATGGCGTTTCTTACCGACTCCGCTGACTGGCTATTTCAGATGACCCCATCGTCATCGATGATTCGATGGAGATTTGTGACGATGATGGACCCACAAAAGAGTTTGTAGATGCGCAGACGCCTCGGCTGTTGTCATCCGCCAACAAGGCATCCACCGAGAAAGGTGACGAACCAAGATCCGATGACGGATGGCAGTGCCGCATTGACTCCGCGAGAGGTAAGGCTCGTTCCATTACCGTCCCGGTTTCCCACTGACCCGCGACAGAAACCCCCAACTTACCTGGAGTGAGTCGACCTCTTCTCGTGATGCCCACACCCGCGTCTCTCCACGTCCACAGAGTCGACCTCCAATCCCGGTTGAACGCGCGACTAGAGAGGAGTGGCCGGTAAAAAGGATACTAGACTCCCGGATCCGTGTGCGGGGGGACGAGGCAATGTTGGAGTACCTTGTCGCATGGAAGGCTACCTGGCGGACTAGACAGGTGTGCCAATTGCGTTTCAGGCACATTGAACTTCCTGCGATCCCGGCTGTGTGCAACGGGACCAAGGAGGGGTGGCCAGTAAAGAAGATACTACGTTCTCGGATCCGAGTGCAAGGGGACGAGAAAATTCTAGAGGATCATGTCTCATGGGAGTCTACCTGGCAACCGCTAAGCAATCTGATTCCAGGTTGCAAGAAGTTGGTCAAAAAATTCCATGCAGAATGGAAGAACAAGCGGCCTTCGTTGACAACTCTGGCAGGCTATAGGCATTTCAAGCAGAGACAGGGATCGCGCAGGGCCGGTGGACGCAAGATTGTAAAGTCGATTGGATAGAACCTTCATTAGTGTAACTATATAATATTATGCCATTTTTGGTTCTAATTTGTCCCGTACTTTGCCTGTCTTATTTGTTTGCTCTTTGTCTTCTGTTTGCTCTAGGAAGCACTATTGAGATTGCCTATCACATTCTAGACCGGGGTCTACCTTTCCTACAAATATGGTATGGTATTTTTTTGTTCGTGTTCATTTGTTTGTGCCTTGTTTGTTTGTTTTGCTGTCTCTTTTCTTTTCTTTGTCCCTTCTGTCTTTGTTTTTCTTTGTTTCATTTTATTCGCATTTATTTCTAGCTCTGGAGAGGAGCCCTATTGAAATTATCGCTCCAGTTCTGGATATTTATATGTTTGGGTTCACCCGTTGCTACATTAAACCATAATAAATCACATTCCACAAATCGACTGGAAATTCACATCTTAACAGAAACCCAAGTGTGATTCGCGCGGCTTTGGAGCGCCTTTCGGCCCTGTTTTCCTCAGGATACTGGTCTCGGAGCCAATTATTTGTGAATAACTAGTGGTTGCTCATTTGTCAAATGAATTTCACATCTGAAACCATTAGCTAAATAACCCAGCTTTGAAAGGCAAAGAGGCTAACAGGTCGCAAGCCCGGTACCAAGTTTTAGTAGGATAGCTGGGCCACATCCTTTCATCAATTTTTTCCCAAGTCATCTCACAATGTCAACCTCGCAACCAAATTCTTCCTGCAACTCTTTGGAATGCACGACTCTTACGGCCAACTCCACGTTCTAATTCATAATTTGGAATTTCCGGAATTGTCTGATCGACCACCTGAACGACATAGATTGCGTTGAATCGACCTGCAAGGGCGGCGTAGGTGGCTCTTACTTCTGTCCCTTTTATGGCTTTGTACAAGCGGCGGCCCCGAGCTGGAAGCAACAGATCGATTGCTTCTTCTTCTGAACCCCAAATCAAAGAGGTTTCAGAAAGTTGCTAGGTACAGTTTTGGTTGAGAACGAGTTTCCCACGCACACTCTCGACGTAATGACTGTCGTGGGCTAATCACTCATTAAACCAAGGGTCATCTAGAACTTGTCTCGCTGACGCTCTTGCAGACGGCTCAAACTGCAATAAATTTCCAATGATTTGCCCCAGCCTCACTATGTCCTCTCTTGTGAGATCGGGACTCTCCAGCCCTTCAAAGTACACTTCTTCCAGCCATTTCTGCAAGCTGGGCCCGGTGTTTTCTGTGGCTCTGCCGTCCCCTGCGTTCATTGTATCCCATATCCCTTGCCATCTTTCAGGTAGGTCATCGCTTGCCATCTCTCGCATTTGGCCAACAAGAATTGTTGGCGTTATCAAGAAGGTGTCGAAAGGCGGCTGCCCCGTGAAAAGTTCAAAGAGCTGTTATACCTATCAGTTTACCCTTGTATAGCGTTTAGCCTCGGATGATTTCACCCACCATGCATCCCATGCTCCACAAGTCAACACGATAATCAATGCGATCTTGAAATATCACTTCAGGTGCCCGAAGAGCTAGAGGTGTGTGTAGTGTTTGAGGAATTGCAGTGGGTAAAAATGATTCCCCGAAGTCGATTATTTTGATTGACTGGGCCGAATTCCAAGAATGCGTCCGATATGAGGTAGGCTTAACGATATATTCAGGTATGCCAGGCGCCAGGTCTTTCCCATCGCTCCTTCGGACATAGCCAATTTCTGGTTTTCCAAGCATCTCAGTAAACCCCTCTTCGGTTACATTGTCCATGTAAGGCATAGTGAAGGCCAAATTGCGGGTATGCAGATCTATACTAGGTGAGAATTGTTCAAAATATCACCAAGAGAGTCTTACCTCCATGTCCAATATTCTGTCGGTGCAAGCTATCAAGCCCAATAAGACTCTGCTTCGCAATGACTTTGGCGAGCTTCCCAGGGAGTCTCCCATCAGGAAAGTGTGCATCAATTGTGTCCGGAATATTAGGCCCCAGAAGCTCATAAACTAGGCATTTATGAGATCCATTTGGGCCCTCAAGATCGAAGTCATCAAGCATGTGCACCGTATGTTTCAGACAAAAGTGATGAGATGCCAACTCCTTCATGGTTTGGAGCTCTCGCGTCTCCCCACCATGATCCCTTTCTGCAACAGAAATTTTGACAGCAACATAAACCTCTTCCCTGCAAACAGACAACTTCTCGTTAGCTAGAACTACCAAGAGTCACACAATTTTGTACAACCTTTGATCTCTCGCCGCCCAAACTGTCGAGTAACCTCCCCATCCTAGTTTATGTAGCACTTTATACCTTCCAGCTTTCAGGTATTCTCCCAAGGCAACTGGGTGGTAACCGCCTTTTCGGTAGCGATGAAGTGGCTCCGCGTCAACGGGGGAAATATAAAGGGGCTGGTCCATCTGACTCTTGTCTGGATGAGTAGACCAAAGCCGTGAGATGCTCCTCAAGGGGACAGTACGTCTCGATAGTATCCAGGCAATTGCCATTAGATTATTTAAACCGAAGTTGTCTGTGCCTATTCTGTCAAATATTAACATGAGTCCAGACTGTGACGTTGGCAGCAACTCGCAAACGATAGCCAATCAAATGATCTTTATAAGCGCCTAATTCTTCTTGGCGACAAATTATTGGTCAGCGGCACACCACCAAATCCCTCCGCAACATAGTGGCGGCAAAAGCAGAAAGCAGACTTATACAACCACAGGAAGAACGTATAAATCAGTCCCTACTGCTCTCTGAAGATGTATCTAGGTCTAGAAAAAATATTATATACAACCTACGGTGTCTATATGAAACTTGGAGCTTATAATGTCTCCTATTTCCCGGCAGGCCGTCAAGCTCACGCAAAGGATTCGCAATCCTACTTTACGTAATCTCACACTCAGCCTCATCGAAGACGCTTCTCAGAAGCCTGACCTAGCACACTTCACCATCGCCATCCTCAAGTAAGCACCATATTAATATTATGTGTAACTGAAGTTGCCGTTTTTCAGAAATCTTACCATGGCAGAAACCCATCGCATACGAGTCATACCGACCTCAAGCCTTACGCCACAGCACTGTTTGCAACCGAGGAACAATTCAAAAACAACAAAGCTCAGACAGCTCACATCTACCACGATGAACAAGGGTGCTATACTAGTCATGTTCTATATCAAGAAAGAGAGAACAAATCGTCAGATGAGTGAAGTGCTCTGAGTGATGCTTGGGACCACTGGCTGCCGCGTTATATTCAGAATGAGAAGTACAGTGTCTATGATGGAATTGAACCGCTGCCCAGCGGTACACATGAACAGTCCCTTATTTTTGGATCTCCTATTCGGTGTGACTTTGGTACGGTGGCTGAAGATGTATTGCGAGGGAATGTAACAATTAAAGGAAATTTAGAAATTCAAAAATCCAGAAAACAATAGCTTGAGGTTCTAGAAACGCGTTGCTCCATTCCTCGGTCTATTGGCGAAACACAAGAAGCGACAGGATTGTGTTTCAGGAGTTTCTGTCCACAGTTAACAATTGGCTCTCAGTTACCCTCATCTTTCTACAGAGAGTCAATATCTCAGTCAATGTTTGGTGGGAAATCTCTCGATTCGCGGCTTACGCATTCCCAACTACATTAAGATGCTTCGAGATCGTTTCCTTCCCCCTTTCCTATAATGAAAGTTTATTGAAGATTAGAAATTACTTTTCCATTATCCTTGCTCATCTGCCTTGTCGCCAACCCTCTGCCTTTTAAAGCCAACTTTACTTGCTCCAATGGTATCTTCCTCTTCCTCATCCACCTCTCCAACATGATCTGTGAAGCTCCACTGTAGGGCATTCTCATACTCAGCCTCGGTTTCGTTGGCTGATGTATCAGACTCGACCAAGACTGGTCCCGCTGTTAAAATAAAAACTGGGCCTTCGCCAGATGATGCAAAAGACTGAGATTCACTATTCAAGTCTGAAACCCTCCAATTTGCAGCCTCAATGAATCCATTTCTCCATTCCTTTGCCAAGTTTCTGCCATGCTGAAAAGCAGCTGCTCTCTGATGAAAGGTTTCTGGGTCACCAGTCATAGACCACCCTTTGAGTTGGGTCATAATATATTCAAGACAATCTCCAGAATAGGTTGGCTGGATAGAATGAGAGGTGTATAACTTGAGCATGCCATCATGGTATGTAGATGTAATTGTATAGATGTTGTTATTGTAAACTAGTTTGTCTTTCCCATATGACTGAAGACTTTGAATACCTTGAGCACTCAACACATCATCATAGCATATCTGTCTTCTAGCTACTGCTGCAGATTCATTGAGTTTCTTTGCTTTCAGAAAGATGTTCAGTGACATTAAAAGACTATTCTGTATTGAAGAGATGATAAAGCCATTTAACTTGCTGCAGATATTTCAGTCAAGCTGTTCAGAATGAGCTCTGTAAAAATGATCCGACTTGCTGGCAGTAAGAGTACCATTCATCAAGAGAATCTGATTTTCAAATGTGTATTCTTCTCCAACACATTTAATGTCACTAATCTTGTCTTCAATAATTGAAATCATTGAAACTGTTATTGATTGCTCTTCGAATGCATGTGCATCTGCCTTTTTGAATTTTTTGAATTTTTTTTCTGAAAACTTTGATGGTGAAAGTGAAGCTCAAGGTCTGACTAATCTTTCATTGATGATCTCTCAGTTGTCTGGTGTTAGCGGGAACTGACTATCTGGATAATTGTACTCTGAAAAGTAGACACCATGATCGATCAGATTCTGTTCGAAGTTATGTTTATAAGCTGTAGTGCTGGTAGTTTTGATGTCTTGAGTTCCTTGAGTGTTTGAGATTGAAGTAAATGTTGCAGACCGCTTTCAATATTGAGACCTAGATCAATCCAAGTTCATCGTGCGACCAAAATGATTTATAGGTTCTGAGAACTAGAGGGAGAATGATCAGTTTAGAATGATATGAGCAATCTGACAAGTATTTACACCTCTCAAATCTGAGAGATCTGGATCACTATGCCTGGCAAATTGCTTTATATTTTTTGAATAATTCAGCACACAATCGCAGAGGAAGCTAATAGCATTCTGAATGAGTCAGCAATTATTCTTCAGTGTAGTCAGAAGCTGATGAGTCAATGATCTGTTTGATTTTCAGCACTGCAAATAAAATGGGTATGGAGTAAGCTGAGGATTCCTTCAGTTTAGCTCTCTCACCACATCTTTAGTTAATCAAAGCTTCAACAGATTGTCTCAGAATTCTCACAGTGAAGAATCAGTTGAATGGTCATGTTTTTGCTTTTTTGATTGTGATAATCCACTCACTTGAGACGGATTTTGCTCTGAACACTGGTGCTTGCAGGATGGATTAGAGAGTCATGGCACAGACATGTGGCAATCAACAGAATTGACCAGTTTGTCGATATGTTGAAGACGCATGGTCAGATAGGAATAGCGGCGCTTATATTCTCACATAATATGTGAACCCCGGTGTTCCATATATTCACTTTATGATACAAAACCCCGAACGAGCCCAATTCTTCGAATTAGACAACGCGAGTACCCTCAGTCGATTCCTGCTGCCTTCATCAGTAACTGCTGCAAATTTGAAAAGATTTGATGAAGTTTTGATGGAGATATTTGATGAATAGTGTTTTGGCATCTGCTTGGGCGGATTTTCAACATTTCATCAAATTACTCCATCAATACTGGGTCAAATCAACTCAGATTTTGACCAGAGATAGATCTATCTTATATTGATAATCTATTAAAATCTTGTTCAATTTGATCTGCAGTTGCTTGAGTTATTCTTGTTTCTCTGTTTGAGAAAACTCTGATCAATTTTCGTGTTCCAACGTATCCGTGCCAAGTCCCCCCTGAGTACCTCCCAGCCACACGTGCCTGCCAAGTAATAAAAAGATACCTCGGCACAATTGACTAGTGCAATACCCCATCAATTCGAATCCATCGTCCCTTGAATCCCTCGTCGAATCCCTTTGAATAACCCTCCTGTTGATAAAAACATAAGATAAAAGTGGAAATTTCAGTGTTTGAAAGATAGCTTGGTTCCTGCAGGTAGTTTATATATATATTTATATATATATAATCTATTATAAAGGAAAAAAGTGCAGGTTTAGCCTGTTGATTCTTCATTTGCATACTCATTTCTTTGAAAACTTAATATTCAACTTATTGAGAGCTATTCAGTAGAATAAAGTGTTTCAATTTGAATGAAAGGGAATTCATTTAGTATTGAAAGCTTTTGATATTTCAGAAATATAATCTTAAACTGAGAGGAGGTTTAGTTTAAACAGAGACTTTGACAAGCTTTTTATTAAAAAAAAAGATAAAGTTTGAAAGAGATGGAATATTTTCTCTATTTTAACTCTGAATTAATAAAACAAAGAATTCTTACTCAAAAATTCATATTTCTTTTACCTTAGTCAAAGACTGAAGAGCTTTCATTAATACTGATTAATTTGTTATTATATATCTTGTCTTTTTCAGTTGAGTTGCACACTTGTTGTGTGAGGAGATTTCTAAAATAAAGAATATAATCAGTTATTTTTAACAGCTTCTTTTCAAAAAGCTGAGTATTTTTTATTAATTTTTCTTTTAAAAACTGACATTTTAATTTTGATTTATTCAAATTGAAATCATTAATTTCCCCCCTTTTTAATCTTTGTAACTTTCAATCTGTGAAGATTTAACTGATTTATCTTTAAAAATCAGTATTAGTTTATTAAGTTCTCTTGAAAAACTTAATCTAGTTACTATCATTAGTAGGAAAAATAGTTTGAAACACAATCAAATTCTTTAAATCTATCAATGTTTATCAAAATGATAGAGAAGAATGTCTTTTCTGAGGAAATTTCTGAGATTGAATTTTTTTAAAAAAGAAAGAAGAAATATCAAGATCAAATACAAGAGATTCAAAATCTTGAAAAAGCTGTTAAATGCTTGAAGAATCAATGTATGGAGAAAAAAGACACTGAAGTACTTCATATACTACTTATTCAAGCAAGACAACTGAATGAAATTCTCAAGTACAAAATGAAAATCTCATTAAAACTTGAAAAGATAATTGAGATAAAGTCTGTATCTCAAATTCAGATTCAAAAAATAAAGCAAAAATATTATGCTCAAACAGCAGCAAATATTGCAACAGAAAATACATCTTCTTTGAAAAAGAAATATATTCAAATCTCAAAAACTGCTTCTTCTCTGAATACTCAGATCACACAGAAATCAAGAAAGAAATTGAAAAAGAAAAAATTTCTTCAATTAAAAGATTAAAGATTCATTGTTAAAGTCTTTAACAAAGAGATTTTTAAGAAGAAGATGCTGTCAAATGCAGGTTTTATTTTTCAACTGAGAAATGAAATCAATCATGCACTGAATTCTATCTCTGAATCTAAGCTACAAATGTCGGCGATAGCTTCAGTTGAAAGCTCTTTTCTTGGAAACTCAATTATTCTCATCACTATGCCTGATTTTAATGCCAATTTTCTTATTCAAAATCAGCAGATCTGGGCACCTATAATTGAATCTCTTTTAAAAACTGAAATTTCAATTGAAAAGGATGAGAAATGGGGAAAATTTATGCTTTGTGATATATCAACTGCAATCTTCAATCATGATGATGGGTTGATTCAGTTGCAATATGAAATTGAAGATTTCAATTCAATCAAGTTGAAAAAACTTTCTATCTGATTAAACAATTCAGAACAAAGAGAAAATAGACAAAATAGCTCAGTTCTAATCATTACTGAGATATTTGAACAATTCAAAATCTCATTTGTGAGAATTGCTGGTACGAGAATGAGGACTTATGAGTTCAAAGATATCAGAGAAAATCTGAAAACTCAAGTTCAATACTCAAATTGTCAAAAATATGGCCACTTTGCAAATTTATGTAAAAGAAATGTAAAGTGTCAGATTTGTGCACAATCTCATAGAACATCTGAGCATAATTGTCATCTTTGTTTGAGAAAAGGAACTCTGTGTGAGCATTTTAAATCTATTGCAAAGTGTGTCAATTGTAAAGAGCCTCACTTTGTAAATTCAAAAGAATGTGTATTTGCTCTCAAATCAAGAAAGCCATCAGTACAGACAAATAACTCAGTCTCTATTAATGTAAATGATAGCAATAAATAAAAAACAAGAAATTCTCAATTCTCTGAATCTGCTATCTCTGAATGTTCTATAACGCAAAAAATTAGATCACAGAAGTCACCAAGAACCTCTGTTCAAACAACGATAAGAGATACACATATGCAGAATATGATAGCAGTTGAAGTTGTGAATAATAAATTCAGTCTATTATCTAACTTTGAATAAAGAGAAATACTTGTTAATATTTGTGTAATGTCAGAAAAACAACAAAAAAATGTTAAAAGCTCAACAAAAATCAAATGTATTTAAAATAATGTGGATAGAACAAATCCATGCCTTTATTTCTGTTTACAAATTGGCTATAAGCAAAAAGCAAACTTTGTCCTTATTCAAGAACCCAGATTTAATGCTGATTAAGAGTATAGTGTATCTCATTGAGCGTATTATTGTTTTCTACCAGAGAAAACAGATATTAGAGTTAGAGTGTATGTATGTATGTATGTATAGGTTTAACGTCCCGGAGAAAACACGGGCAGCGCCCGTGTTTCAGAAGCCTCCCGAAGGGCATGGAGACGTGCTACGCTGGAGAGATTTCTATGTACACAGAGAGAGAAAACAGAATCCAGGTGGCAACTCTTGAGAAGACTCAGCTCATTGCAAAGGATTTTTCTGAGCTGCGCATCCACTTCTGGCCCGACGTATGGCCATTCATGGTGGGGCTATAGTGTGGTTCCCTGAGGGGACCGCCTCTGCCGTGCCTGGAAGGCTTTATAGTGAGCAGAGAGGGATACCTCTCTCAGTTGATCAGAGAGCTGTCTGTGCTTCTAACATCAGAAGAAAGACAGACAAGATAAATAATGAAGGAGAGAGCACTGAAGAAGGTTGTGACAGGAAAAGAGCAGAGAATGACAGAGAGAGCAAAGAAAAGAAGGAAGAAGAAGCATTTGAGCCGATAGAGACAAGGGCAAACGAGAGGAAAACAAAGCAGAGCACGCGTAACTAGATACAATGCCGGCAGTCAAAACCATATCAGCTGAGTCAGACACGTAGACTGTACTGATTACACCACAGCTAATTGAGACAGATGAGCCTAGTTGTGCTATCTGTACTGTCTGCATAGACTGTGATGTCCCTGGCAGTTGCACTAGCTACCGTGGGTGTACTCAGCAGGCCGGCCTCGTGGAACTGCTGCGGGGGTTGTCAGATGGTTTGCAGCCAGCCGGCTGCGTTACCTTGTGCAGTACCGTGTGTAGAACTGCGTGCAGTCCAGCAGTTCTACAAAGTCTGTAGGGGTCAGAGACCCTAGATAGGCAACAGCTGTCGCCCGGTTGTGTGGCCGTGCTGCTGGCCTCTTGGGCCAGTGAAGAAAGTGCCTCTGTGAGTGTCGACAGAGCACCAAATGTTCTGGGCTCTTGTTGTGTCCACAGACACAGGTGAGCCTCGCATCTGCATGCTGGAAACGCCTGTGGTACCAGGAGAAGTCCCCATGAGAGGAGCGGAGTGCGAGCCAGCGGTGAAGGGCATGCCGTGGCATGGTGAGCTCCGGAGGGGCCTTCACTTGGTATTCCACAGTCGGCCTGCTGAAACTCCAGCCCCGGTACCAGTCAGAGAGCTTGCCACAGGCTCCACTCCACCACTTTCGCCTTGCCTCTTGGCTGAGCTGCTTGGCCACTGTGCGGACCCCACTGACTGTGGGTGTGGCCTCGAGACCATAGGCTGGGGCCGCAGTGGATGAGACTGCCCGCTTAGCCAAGCGGTCTGCTTCCTCATTGCCCTCTATCCCCATATGCCCAGGAGCCCATTTCAGGCCGACATTGTGCTGTCTGAGGAGCTCATGGCAGCGGTTGTAGGCCCAGTTTGAGGAGGCTGCTGCACTGCCCCGTATGCCCCAGATGACTGAGGTGTTGTCGAGGCAGAGCCAGATCTGAGGGTTGCTGCTGTCCTCTGTGACACAAGGTAGGAGCTTCACGGCGCACTCCAATGCCCGGCAGGCACCAACTGCCTCAGCGTCGAAGACATGTGACATAGGGCTCAGCGCAGCTGAGAAGCTGGCCAGCTGTTTATTTCCCTGATAGACTATGAAGCCATAGCCCACCTGCCTGCTGTTGTCAAGGCTCCGTTCTGATCCATCTGAGAAAACATATAGATCTGTTGAGGGTTGACTTCTCCACCATTCCTTGAATGCCTGAGCAGCACTCTTTTTGTCTACACCCTCTGTGGGGTCTGTCCCGCATCCCTCTGAGTAGTGTGGGATGGCAAGTGTGGGTCTATTGACTGCAGGTAGCAGCGCCCCCAACCGCTGGATCTTGGTCTTTGAGCGCTGCCGGGTTCCAGCCCCTCTTCCTCGTGTGATCATTGGAGGTGCTATCCGTGAAGCCAGTGGGTGCTTCTCATCCACCACCTGAAGCCTTGTCGCGAATCGAATTTTGGCCTCCTCCAGAGCTACCATTGCTGATGGGAGCCCAGCATCCCGGTATAGGGCAGCGATGGGCGTTGTACGGAAAACTGGGAGGACCCCTCTGGCTGCCATAGTAAGCACCTTCTCAACTGTCCCCACATGCCATCCCAGGCGGGAGCTAACCTCCCCACTCCTGCCCGTGTGCCTTGCTGGCTGCGTGCGGCCGCCGTACCAGGCCTCTGTGCCATAGAGCAGTGAGGGAACCACGCAGGTGGTGACCGCCTTCCGCAGAGCGTCTGCTGGGGGCCCGTCTCTGGTCTTTCCCAGACTCCGGATGTGCTGGGCTACGGCCCTTGCCTTCTTTGCCCGGGTGGAGACATGTGGTCTCCAGGTGAGCCTTCTGTCGAAGTGTACACCCAGCCAGCGAAGTGCTGGCTCCTGTCCAGCTGGGGCAGTAACAGGGTGAACAGTGAGGTCCTCAGACACAACTACTGCTGGTGCCTCATTGTGTCGCTTTCTTGTAAGATGGATCATCTCAAGTTTCTCTGGTGCGAAGGCCACCTTGTTTATCTCCCCCCACCTCAGAATACTCTGTATATCCTGTCTGAGAAGGGTGGCATTGTTGTCAAGTGAGTGGGTCGCCCGCCAGATGTTCAGATCATCCGCATAGCCAAAGCGCAACTCCGAGTTTTGCCACAGCAGCTCTGCCAGGTACAGAAGGAACAGTATTGGTGACAAAGGAGACCCCTGTGGCGTGCCACATTGCATCTGATGTGCTGCTGTGGTGGTCCCCTCCAGCCGGACCTGAGCTCTGCGTTCAGTGAGGAAACTGTCAATGAGCTGCAGCAGCTCGCGTGGCCACCCCTGCCGCGCCATCCGCTGAAGCAGCCGCCTGCGCAGCACAGCATCAAAGGCACCCTGCACATCCATTGTGACCATGGACACTTCTTTGTTTTGTGCGAAGGCTGCCTCCACCTCATGAGTGAAAGCAGCTACCAGGTCCATTGCAGATCGTCTGGGCAGCGCCCCCCCATGCTGTGGGCTGACTATGCCGTGAATGAGTGCCGTGGACGCCAGTCGCCTTGCAATGATGCGTTCCAGCCCTTTGGAGATTACTGAAAGCAGGGCAATGGGCCTCCAGGAGCGGACTGAGCTTCTATCTCTCTTACCCACCTTGGGTATCATTGCCACCTCTGCCAGTTTCCAGGCTCGTGGGAAGTGGCAGAGCCGGAGGCAGCAGTTGTATAGCTGCTGTATAAAGAGGGACACATGCTGCCAGCATGCTTTGAGCATCCGCACTGTGATTCCATCCGTGCCTGGGGAGGTGCTCTGTACCCCAATGGTGTTGCGCTCCATCTCCTCCATCTCAATCCGGGGGTTCCAGGGCAGGTTCCCCATGCCGCTCCAGTGCTCATCATCCAGTGGGTCATACTCCAGATCATCAGCTGAGTTGTATCGCTTCAGAATTGCTTGTTGAAGTGCCTCAGCTTTGGCGGCTGTCTCTTCTATGACCTGATCCCCAATCACCAGAGGGGGTGCTCTGAGGTTGGGTTCCAGCTTATGCCATGCCACCACCCGGTACAGGTCTCTACCATCTCTGGCCTCATTGATCACCTGCCTCCAGTATGCACGCTTGGCCTTGCGCACTGCATCCTTGAACTGGTGCTTCGCGGCCTCTGTCTGTTGAGTAGTGAGCTCTCGGTGCGCTCTTCGGCAGTCTGCTGTCCACCAGGGGGCTGTGGTCCGCCCTTGTTGAGCTGGCTTACTGACTGCCTGAGCTGCAGCCAGAAGACTCTGAGCGAAGTGCTGGGCCAGATCATCAAGCTGTGCCACATTTCCAACCCCCTCTGGGCAAGGCATGTCCACCATGAGACCTCTGACAAGATCTGCAAAGGGCTCCAGCTGAGAGTCTGTGATCTTGATCCGAGCATCGCTCAGCTGTGTTTGAGGTGTTGTTGGCAGCATAGTGATCATAGACTGGTGATCTGAGCCGCAGTGTAGATCTTGACGCACTGTAGTGGAAGCAAAGGCCACATTGGAGAAGGTGAGATCAATCACATGACCTGCTGCATGAGTCGGAACCCCTATCTCTCCCACAAAGTCCATCCCATGTTCACTGGCCCATTGGACAAGCTCCCCGCCCCGGTGCAGATTCACTGCCCCTGGTTCAAAGGCATCATGCCGTACGTTGATATCCCCACCTATCAGACAGCGGGCTGGTGGGCTCAGATTGGTCAGATAGTCCATGACTGCGTCTGTCCCAGGCTGTCTGTACACATTGAGAATGTGGCAGCCATTTACACTGACCCATAGCAGATCCCTGCTTTGCACAGACCGGTGTTGCTGTGCCCTTGTCTTTGAGCCCTTGCGTACATATGTCATGACCCGGGGCCTCTCCTCCTCTCGCTGCTCCGGGTTAGTGTCATCCCAGCGGTCTATAGGCGCAAAGCACTCATACGCTGGGTGGTTAGAAGTCTTGGTGCCAGGGTGTGTGTATGGCTCCTGTATACAGATCACTTCACAGCCCTGCTCGAAAGCAAGCTGCAAAGCTGCTGTGTGACAGGGGGCTGCCCTGGCTGTATTTGCCCAGAAGACCTGCAGGGGGCGATTTTCCTGCTGGTTGTTCCTGCGGCGCCAGCCGCGTCGCTGGTGTTGGTGTCCTAGCATGAGGAGTCACTTGGTGAGCTGCTGCCGAAGTCCACCTGCGGGATGAGGTTGAAGACCTCCAGACCTGCCACCTGCATGCTGGAGTCAGACTGTTCTTTAGCTGCTTGGCTGTGCTGCCGCACTGCTGTGCGAGCTGAGCGTCGCCTGGTGCGGGCCATCTGCCAGGTGGCACCCTCCTCACTGATGGAACTCTGAGTAGCCGCCCGCTTGCGGGGTGCTAGCCCAGCGGGCTGTGTTGACTGGGTTGACTGAGCGGTTGGTGTAGGCACCACCACTGCGACCATTTTGCCGCTCCTGAGCATCCCTGTGGCACCTGTCGCCAAGGCGGCGAACAGCTGCTAGCTCTTTTTGAGTTAGGCGCCTGAGGGTGCCATTCACGCGCCTGGGTGCGGCAGGGCAGTGCTGATGCCCAGCTGGGTAGGGTTGGCAGCAGTTGGCACATCTTGGCGCTCTCTTGCACTCCGCGCCCCTCATGCTGGCTTGTGGGCTCACTGCAGTTGGAGCATCTTGCCAGTCGCGCACACTTTGGTGGGTGGCAGAACCCCTGGCATCCTGGGTTATGTCTCACTGTCAAAGGCCGTTTCTCAATCAGCCTGGCCCTCTCACCGGCATTGAAGAGTGAGAAGCCTTTTACCGGGGCAAGGAAGGAGACAATCCATGTAATCTTCCCTGTCTTGGGGTTCACCCCATGACGCGAGGGTCGACAGCTCACTGGCTTTACCTTTGCCTGAGCCAGAACCTCTCCCTCAATCATCTTGTCTGTGGGGATTCTTGCCCCTTCCCAGTCCTGGACAAATTCTGGGACCCCTGGGACAGCATAATTATACCACCGCTCTGGTAGCCGGATCTCCGTGGCGCCAAGGACTTCACAGAGAGTAGCCACTGCCTTCTCAGTGGTCAGAGCGTCGCGTATGCCTCTGTCGCTTGGTGTGATCGCCCAACCTGTCCGGGTGGGCTCCACCTTCGGCACTGCCAAGCAGCATCCCTGTCAGCACTGCCTCACTAAGCTTGGCCCCTGGTCACGGGGGCCTTCATGGGTAAGAAGTGGCTCAAAATGGGACCTTGCCAGCGGCAGGATTCGAACCTACCAGCACATCTAACAGTGCTACCTTGGGTAACAGTCTTACCAACTGCGCCACGCGGGCTATAACTGAGTGAAATACTTATGAAATTATTAGCAGACCTTCAAAAAATACTTCAATGATTTCACTATGTTGAATGTTTACTTACAAATTTGATGATGATGATTATTTTGTTAACTTCAAAGCTTGTATCTATGTCTGAGATAATTTACAATCAATATCTGAGTGAAATATCAAGGCTTACACTCTAGCTGCAAAAACCTTCCATATCTTGCTTGCTATTATCAACATCTTTAACCTCGATGCTGAGCAATTAGATGATGTCAATGCCTTTATAAACAGCTCACTTGATGAGTTAGTTTATGTTGAACTGTCAGATGATTGATGGAAGTTGAAGAGGATATGAAATTTCAAAAAAAACAACTATATTCTATACTTACTACACATTTTGTATGATCTAAGAAGATCACCTTTTCTATGGCTTAAAGAACTATCTACTACTCTTAAACAGTTAGAGTTCATTTCAATCTCTGAGAATAAATGCTTGTTTATCAATGAATGAATAATGATATTCTTCTACATTGATGATACTGTTGTCATATCTCACTTTGATGACAGAGAGAAAAAGAATCAGTTAATCAAAGACCTCAAAAATACATATAAATTCTGACAGATGAGAAACTTCAAATGGTTTCTTAATATAAAAATTATTAAAAATCAGAACTCTAAGAAGTTATAATTCTGTCAAGATATTTATATTGATAAAATAATTGATACTTATCATTTTATTCATGCTTGTAAAGCATCAACACTTCTATCTAATATTTTATTAACATTTTATCAAAGAATTACATTGTTAGAAAATACTCATTACTATCAACACTGAATCAGATTCTGTATCTATACTGCAGTAATGATTATATCAGATATTATATACACAGTTGACAAGCTCATAATTTATATGATCAATTCTTCTAAGTATCATTCTACAGAGATTGATTGTGTTATTGCTTATCTGCAAGATTTGAAGAATTTAACAATCGAATATAATGTATCTGATAGTGATGACTTATCAATGAATGTGGTTGAAGCAGCTTGTGATGCCTCCTTCACAGATAATTCAAATAAAAGATCAACAGAAGATTATATCTTTAAACTTTTTAAAAAATTTGTTGATTGAAAGTCAAAAAAACAGAGTATAATAACAACTTTCATCACTGAAGCTGAACTGCTAGTTATATCACAAGCAGGCAAGAAGTTAATCTGATGAAAATGATTTTTTGATCATCTATAATTTGATTCAGAATACAAGATTTCAATTCAGTGTAATAATTGACAAACAATTGATATCTTTACTAAAAAAGATTCATCTATCACAATCAAACTATGCCATGTCAATATCTACGGTAATTGATTGAGAGAATGAATACAATTTGATGATATCTCAGTACAATGAACATCTACAAGCAATATGTTAGTGGATGGATTGACCAAGTGATTATCATAATAAAAGCAAAAAGAATTCATTAAACAGTTAGAATTAATTAATATAATGGATATTATCAATCAAATAATAAAATAAAGTATAAAAAGTTGACAAGATTGAATAGAAGAAATTTAACATTCTCATATATCTTCTTTATTTATTTCTCTTCATTTTTATTGATCATCATATTTTCTATATTATTTTCTATTCTGATAATTTGTTCAGCTTCATTACTGATGATATTCAGCTGAAAAGAATATATCAAGAATTTAGTAAATTTAATAAAATTTAATAAGTTTGATTATCAAGAATTCTGTAACAATTTAAAATCTGAAACATTTTATTTGATGAAATCAAGCAATGCTTCACAGATTCTTAGTGCTATCTATTGTGTATATTTGTGCATAGCTTTTCTTATAAATACTGTCTAATTATCATGTAATTATCAAAGTTAGAAGAAGCAATTTAATTATTTTTTATTGATATTCAATAATTGAAACAATATTCAGACTTTATTAGTTCCGACACACTTTTTCTAGTGAGTGCGCCACAGCGTACAGAAAACCACAGCGTACGGAAAATATTTTGAATATAGTGATTTTTGAAAATTAATTAATAATCATCATCACATTTATCTATAATATGAAGATTATCTATATACTCACTAAAAGGTGTAGAATCCACTGTAAATTGAGATTCTATAGAATTATCTTATTGTGATTGAATGGCTGTAGATTTTATAGATTTGATTTCAATTAATTGAAGGGTTTTATTGCATGTTTTTTTCATCTCATCTGCTCTAGAGATCATGATCTTGCAATTGACATTTTTAATAATGAAGATTCTGTTTATTTACATCTGTCTGTGAAAGGATTTGATGATTTGATATTTATTTGCTTGATAATGATTTGCAAGTTGACTTTCACAATGTGTGTCACTGGGTGCCTGCTCACATGGGTATATATGGCAATGAAATGGCTGATAAAGCTGCAAAAAAAGCAACTGAATTGGAAATCTGCTTTCAAAGAATTGTATCATGGGCTTATATTAAGAGAAAAATAAGAGAATCATGTTTGCAAAAATGGCAAGATATCTGGTTTTTACAAAAAAAGAGTGTACATTATTCCAGGTTTGAAACTAAGCCAAAATGGAAAGCTTGCTCAATGAAATGTAAAAAGAAACTTTTTGCTACAATAATGCAGCTAAAACTTAGACATGGTTATTTTAAATCATATTTAACAAAGATTAGAAATGATTTAAGTGATTTATGTTCAGATTGTCAGTTATATGAAAACCCAAAGCATCTTTTTTAATTTGTACAAAGCATACAGAGTTAAGATTGAGATTGAGAGAGAAGTTTGAATTGACACAGTTAAATTTAAAACTTTTGTTCAATACAAAAACTGGAAATGAATTCTTGATTGAATATTTGAAAGAGTCAAATATTGCTACAAGATTTTAATTGAATAGTTTGATCTGATAATGAATTCAATTTTTCTTTTTCTTTTTTCTTTTATTTCTATGTATTTGCTTTAATTTTTGTTCTTGTTTTTATTTTTATTTTGTTACTTTTGCTTTAAAATTTATTTCATTTTGATTATTTTTGATTTTAACTTATTTTGAAAAGTTTAATTTGTAAATGCTTTCTTTTCTTTTAATAGCTGCTGTTTTTTATACTTTTTATTTCATTTGTTTTAAATTGAATGTATTGATCTGTTGTCATTCTTTTGACATTCTTTCTTAAATTGAATAGTTTGAATAGTTGTTTGATTCTGGGCTGGAATTCTGCTATTACATGTATTAAATTGACTTTGTATATTAGCTTATTCTTAAGTTGAAAAATCCTGGAGTGTTTCAGGTAGATGTCATAGTCACTGACTGCATACATCTATAATGGAAGAATAATAATAATAATAATAATAATAATAATCACAATGTGTGTTCAATTCTATCTGAATCATGCTACTCTTGAAAATCTTATTCAATTGCTTTATCAAATCAGATGTAAGAGTATTCTTCACATCTTGTAAGACTTTTACTACTGCATTGATTTAATGACATAGTTTTGCAACTGTTTTTGAGAAAATTAATTATAAAAAAATAGTTGACAGTTGATCTGCAGCCAGTGGAATAAAGTGATTGCATACATTATCATCATCATCATATATGTTGAGATCTGAGGCATTATCAATGATAAGAGGTCTCAATTGATTGAGAACTATATTGTGATTAATTGAATACATTTCACAGTCAGCAAAGCCAGCTCTCACAGTGTCAGATTTGAATGCTTGCAATCAAACACTCTTCAGATTAACAAGGAATTGTCTGTCATCATATTACTCATATTCATAACAGATGATCTCATTAATTGTTTTTATATGATAATATTTATATTGCTGAAAAGATACATCATCAAAAGGTTGTAGAATATAATTTGTATGAGATGAAAATCTGAATAAAATAATTTTATAAAGATTGCAGTATTGAATTAATTTTTTTGTGAGATGATAATCATGATTGTTCGTTAATAACAATCAATGATTGTTTATTTGATGCTTTTTTATCATTTTATTAAACTGCTTGATTCATTCAAATCCAATCTCATCATTTGTAAAGTCAGACTCAGATGCAGTGATGGTGTAATTGTCAGATAAATTGAAATGTGTATATCAATTCTCTAGATGAATCTTCAATTTCATTATAATCAATGAATTCAATATTGTGTCATTTGCATTGACACACTTCACCACTGTTATAATCTGTGAAAGTATGATGATTGTATGATGGAATTCATGTTTTTAAAAATGGTTATAACTCACTGTTCACATTCTTTTCCTTCTTGAAATCCAATCTCATCAAAGTTGTAGATATTGCAGGGGAAAAAGTGATATTGATTGAAGACAGCTTCATATCAATCAAATCAGTTGATAATGAAGTTTATATTTTTACAAGACACTCATTTTGAATTCATGAACTTTTACTTAATTTATTTGTAATTTGACAGACATTTGATGAATCAATATACTCACATCTTATTTACTGTGAGAGGTGCGGTCTCCGGATCTATATGATGCTGTCTCAACATGCAGTTCACAGCAGCTTCAATATGCTTGATGATGAGTTAGTAAAAATTAATATTCAACTGATGAATTCATATCTTAATTGCCTCCTTCTAACTGTCATTCAATGCTCTATTCAGTGGAACTCTCATAGTCCTTGATTTTTTTCTGTTGATACTTTTATACAAGATGGCATATGGGACTTTGAATTCTTGTGACAGAGATGTGATTTTTAATTTTGAATTGCTTTTGTATGTGTCAACAGCTCTTTGCAACTGCTCCTCAGTGTAATTAGAAGATTTAAGCATGGTTATAATTAATGATGATTATTTGAAGATGAAGAATGAAGATATTGATAATATTTTCCATACGCTGTGGTTTTCCATACACTGTGGCGCACTCACTAGAGAGAGTGAGTAAGCATGGCACGGTTAGTAGTGCCCAACAAGTTCGAATCCCAACCTCTTCAAAAGGATATTATCACGTTTTGATGGATATTGGAGACCCTTTCTTATCTCATTTCTATTGGTAACTGCCACTGCGGAGCGGAGCAAGGTTCAGCACTACTAGTATGTATATACTTTAGATGGATTCAGTAGAGGGGGATTCTGATACGGTATTGTCTACGCCGCAGTTCAAGTGATGAGGGGCTGGTACGGCTGCTTGTATTATACTCCGTATGATCTGAGGCAAGGACCCCCTTGAGGGCTAGATCCAGAATGATATGGCGGAGTCTCTCAGTTACGAATACGCAGTGGAACGCAACTAGAGAGCAGCTGAAAATAAGGATATCGGCTAGTGAGGTGAACTTACGTTGCAGGGGATATTGATATTATACTCCGTAGTTAGTATGATCTTGGCCGCCCAGGGGAGGGTTTCAAACTTATTTACTGCCCCCCACTTGCAGCAAGGGCAGTACAAATCTCCTATAAATGATAGCCTTTCTTTAGCGGTGCGAATTGTTCATTCTTGAGTTAAGCCGAAGCACTTCCTATTTTTATATTAACACTTCGTTCGTCTGTGGATGAATTCTTTGTTGATTATTTCATTTCCATGTACTCCGTACTGAAAGGACTTAACAGTTCAGTGAATTCCAACAAGGGGGGCGCTTGAACTTTTGCTTTTGCTCCTCCCACGTTTCCTTTTTTCCACGGTTAAGAAAGCTATCTCTCTCCATACGACCTCCAGAGCTGAGCAGCCCTTCCAATCATGCCGATTTCTCTTCTGATATCGCCCAATCTTACAACTATTGCGCTTCTTGTTGGGGCTGTGACTACATTTTCCTATACCGTGTCACGGTTCCTACATGCCCGACTGTCATGTCGCCATTTAGTAGGTCTGAGATATATGTATATATGTATATATATACCTAACCCTTACCAGCAATGCACTTCCTGGCAATAAGTTCTAGTCAACTGCAAGGTAATTGACCTGACGAGAATAATATATTAGCCCCAACCGCCGCATAGCTTCTGGTTTGGCCACCTACTCGAGGTTAACAAGATCAACCGGGCCTACCCTACCAATGTGTATATTCACCATACGTTAATCTCTCTCGCGCGTAAATACGATTTGCCGGAACTTTACTACCTGGACCTCTGGCCATTTGTGAGTCCCATGGTGGTCCTATGTAAGCCCGAGCTGGCTGCGCAAGTCACCACGGAGCAAACATTTCCCAAGGACCCGGCCGTGGGCCGGTTCTTCAGCCCCTTTTTGGGGAAAAGTTCGATCATATCCGTAAACGGGCCGAAATGGAAAGGCCTGCATTCTACCTTCGTGCCAGCCTTTGCGCCAGCCTATATCCGCACGTTGGCTGATGGGATGCTCGACGAGGTCCTGATCTACCATGATAACTTGGCCAAGTTTGCAAAATCCCAGGAGTGCTTTGCGATGGCGCCTCTGAGCATCGACCTGACATTCAATGTGATCGGGCGCGCCGTGTTCAACAGCCCTTTCCACAGCGAGGATGGAAGGAAACTCGTCAGGAATTTCAAGAACGGTTTGGACTATGCATTCGATGGTGCGCTTAGTACTCGCAACTGGCTGATAGGCATGGTGCCCAAGTGGATTCTCGTGTGGAAAGTCAATCGGTATATTGAAAAGAGGGTGATCATGCGCTTTGCCGAGATGAAAAGGGAAGAAGCGTCGTCCGTCAAGAAGTCAAGGTCGATTATGGATTTGGTTCTTCTCCAGAAATTGGATAATCCAATGGGCATCGCCGGTGATAGCGACTTTATGGAGATAGCTGTTTCGAAGTAAATACCCACATGTCCCCATTCTGACGATGATGATGATCTTTCTTTTTTATGTTTCACATCTTCATTCCGCTCATAATGAGACAGGATCTTGCTGATACGACTGCAGCATCAAAACGTTTTTGGCCGCCGGGCATGAAACTACAGCTTATACCCTTGGGGTAAGATTGAGACTTTGAATAGCGCTAAACCCCATGCCAAATATTATGAATACTGATATCCCCGTCCGCGCAGTTTATTTTTATGGTTCTCTCCAAACATCCTGAAGTATTGAAGAAGGCTCGTGAAGAGCACGATTCTGTGTTTAGCCCAGATCTCAACCGTACTGTTGAGATGATTAGAGCACACCCAGAGAAACTCAACGATCTTCACTACACAACCGCCATCATTAAAGAAACATTGAGGTTATTCCCTGTTGGCAGCGTCGCCCGGGCAAAGGGTGATGAAACGTAAGATGGAGTTTTTTTTTCTTCTCCCTTGCTTCCTTTCTTTGTTAGATAGACACAACCTTTTACAAGTGTTCACCACCATGATCTAATACTGTTATTGACCAATTCCAGCATGAATATTATGTATCAGGGAAAACCGCTCCAAATCACGGACCAGTTGATAATGATATGTATCTTGGCAATGCACTACGATTCGGAATCATTCCCTTCGCCCTGTGAGTTCCAACCGGAACGTTTCCTCACACAGACAATCCCAAAAGATGCTTGGCGACCCTTCGAACGCGGTGCACGGGGCTGCATCGGCCAGGAGCTAGCCATGATGGAGATGCGGATGGTGCTCTTGGTGGTTCTGCGCAGCTTCGAGTTCGAAGCGCTGGGGATCAACCCGCATAGTAACCAAACTGCCTCGTATACGACGCTAGATATGGTTTACGGTGATCTCATTTATCAGAAGCAGTCACTTACGGCGAGGCCAATAGGTGGGCAGGATATGAAAGTGAAATTCGCGAAGGGGCATCAGGCGTATGTTAACTGAAGTTGAAATGGGTTGAAAATAGTATATAACTTGACAAAGCAATTGTGAATCATGCAAATACATATATATCTTGTTTTGTGATTGATCCTTTTTGACGTAGTGGTAAAACCTTCCTACAAGATTTGCAAGCTTTACAGCCATCGCCAAGCTTTGATCCAAAGGATGCGTGGAGTGGATCATTAACGAGTTTTCAATAGTGATTTTTTATTCATAAAACATACAAATATTTTATACTCTTTTGCGTGGGTATGTAGAATTCTTACGCTCAAGAGTTGATAATAAATTCCCGTTGTATGTTTGTTTCAACTCTTTCCGCGCCCAGTTCCTGCTTGAGTTCCCAAGACAAATTGAATCCAACATCCATAGATCCAACCTTTCCTCCTATATTCACCTATAAAAACACCCATTAACGGACAATCTTATATGGGATATTCGAATTATATACGGACAATCAAGCCGTGCTTCATCGTGTCATGGACGCTGCACGGAACATCTATAAACACGATGTGGACTTCGCTGTCCTTGCTCTCCAGTACCCCAACTTTGCCAAACAGTGAGTTGTTGGGCACTAGCAGAAGATAGATAAATGAATGAATGGAATTAACCACATTTTTCAAAGCTAACTTGTAGATGGTACATGAATAGTCTGAAGCAAAACAATCAACTTGACTTCACCGATCCAGATGCCGTCCAGTACACCAGCCCTGCCATCTAAGGACATAGATTGAACATGCAGGCTGAAGATTCATGTGCTGATGATATCTGAATTGCTAGGGAATTGACAAAGAGTCTGCTGAAAAGAGATTTCGGCCTGCACCTCGATTTACCTAGCGATCGGCTTTGTCCACCTGTAAGCAAGGCTCATCCTGTCTGCAATAGGATATCCTCTGATACTTCATGACCGAAAAACAGGTTCCTAATCGGTTAGTTTTTCCTGGACTAGAAGGTCTCATCTGGCTACATGGAGGCGATTGCTTCAGAAAGAGACAATAACATTGCTAATATTGTGCTTTTCATTTTATTTTATATCACTTGCGGAAGCTTTAACTATATTCTATGGCTGCAAGACCTGCTTGATTCCACTTCTGCGAACTACTCTGATGGATACGATCAAGAACGGGATATTTTTGGACTTGATATGTGAGGACCCCTGACTAACTCCCGGGGTATAAATTATGCATGCATGTTCATGTTATCTTATACAATGTCTAGCTGATGAGGATATATTCTATTTCTTGTCTTGTTTGTTTTGCTGACTCTGGTGGACTTCAATCCCATGAATGATAGCGGGACTGGAGCTAGTTGCATCTACCCTCTCCTTGGATGTGCTCAGAGACCAAAATGGAGATTCGCGGCTACAGGTATGCTCGTTTTTCCCCTGTCGTCCGCTGGCATTTTTCACTTTACTAATCGGCCTTGGGACATATCAAGATATCGATGCAATAAACCTGAAATATGCAAGGGATAATGTGCAGAGGAACAGATTGGATTCTCGCATCCAGATTATCGAAAGCTCGACTTCCAATGCGTTGATTCCTCTGGAGACTATCAATATCCCTGAATCGTAAGGCTTCTCCCTTTTGTAATGTTTGCAAATTTTTGGAGATATGTCCCTGGAAACTACGTGCTTATGGTTTGTTTCTCGACAAATAGGAACAGTAGACTGGACTTCACTATGTGTAACCCGCCCTTTTATCAATCCCGCGACGAGTTGATATCATCCGCTAAGGCGAAGCAGAGACCTCCTTTCTCTGTAAGTACTCTAGCTAATCCTGTGCTGGTTCATCCATACTTCCTGCAAGACAACTACTTTGATGAAGAAACTTGCAGGCCCCTATACTAGTGAGAATTGGGCACTGAGCACTGAATACTTACAAATGGCTTATTAGCTAACATGCATAAAATTATTAGGCCTGCACTGGCGCAGAGGTGGAAATGATCACGCCCGGCGGCGAGGTTGAGTTCGTCACTCGCATGATCAGGGAGAGTATCGAGCTGCGGAATCACGTACAGTGGTACACCTCCATGGTAGGGAAATTCAGCAGCGTCGCCACGCTACTTAACATTTTGCGCAAGGAGGGAAATGGGAATTGGGCGGTGGCGGAATTCGTTCAAGGAAGTAAGACGAGGCGATGGGCCATCGGTTGGTCTTGGATGGATTACCGGCCTGGAACTGTGAGACTTCTCCCTGACCAGCCTTGTATCTTATGCTCAATTTTTAATCTTTTCTTTCCTTTCCTTTTTCTTTGATTTTCGGGGAAATGGTTCGAGGGCTGGAGTTTTCCAGATAATCTCTCGTCCCGCGTGTTATTCTAACACTCACATAAAATAACGTACAGGGCCCCTCCAGACCCCACCGTCAAAGCATCGCCAAACACCTCCTCCCGTTCCCACCTGAATTCACATTCCACTGCCCACCGTCAACGTCCCTATCTAGCGCTATCGAGGTAGTAAACTCTAGCATTACAGAATTGGACATCTACTGGCGCTGGAATAGGAGCAGATGTACTGGTCTCGGATTCGCAAGGTGCAACGCCTGGTCCAGACATGCACGCCGGCAGAAGAAAAAACAAGCCATCGAGACTGCGCAGGCGTCGACGACTATGAGTATTGCTACTACTGGCAATAGTGCGAAGGGCAATAAAGATTATGATGCTAAACTGCTCAATTTTATCACAGAAGAACAGGACAGGGGGGCTGAGTTTGGGTTTAAGGTGTCTGTAAGGGGGGATATGGAGCGGCAGGTGGAGGTGACGGTGCGGTGGGTTAAGGGGTTCGATGCAGTGCTTTTCGAGAGCTTTTGCGGGTTTTTGAAGAGGAAAGTTGAAAGATGTGAATGAATAGCGGTTTTGAGAGTGGGTAGTTTTGCACGACAGGCGGAGTGAGTGCAAACGAAATATACCTTGTATTATTTATCATATTGGAATCATGAGGATGTTTTAGGTACAGATTCATTTTTGTTTCGCGCGTACCCAATGGGGCCGTTTACTTTTTTAGCTCCGCTACGTGTAGTAATAAGCGCGGTAGTTATATATATTTTGAGAAAAACCCCATGAGCATTTGAGTAAAATCAACTTGGGTGTGGTCAAGGAGATATGCTGGGGTTAGTCTACGTTTATGTTCGAATTTGAACCATAAACACCGAGGGTAATGAGCTTCTCAGGAATGATAGTTGACGCTAACCTTCACTGGCAACCTATATCGACAGTTGGGAAGCCCTCGTATGTTTGAGATACTCTCAAGATAATCCAAGTGTGGTGGAACAAAGAGGGCCGAAAATGTCTGGGGACTAGACTAAGTGACGGTAGGCTACCGGAACATATGTCGTGATAATTCTGATTATTCTTCATGGTACTGAATCTAACGCAACTCATGTTTGTGGCTCTTTAGGCTTTAGCAAGGCTCCGTTTATTCTATCAACACCATCAAATAACAACGAGTTGATTCCCAGCTCAGGATCTAACGTTCGGAATATGGGGCTTACAACCGGCTCTCCCCAGCGAACTATCCAATCTTTCGTTTCTGGAATTTGCGTCATCCGTGGAGTGGCCAGCAGAACTCTTTCCCACATGGGTGTCATGAGCTTCCGGGTAATTTTGTGTGGCCTCCCATGTACATATGCCTCGAACGTGCGGTCCTTCTGCGGGCCGAAGACTAAAAATTCCGCATCAAGATCACTCCTTTTGTGATTCGTGTCTAGCCGCTTCCGTCTCTTGGGCAGGGACCATGGCTCCTTTCCGGCCACTAGGCCATGTAAGGTGTTCCACTCCTGATCAGGAATAGGGGGTAGAACACTCTTTATAACCATATTATACCACTTTTCAGTAGCTTTCTGCACTTTCCTCTTGGATACATGTCCATTCCAGATACTCTTTTTTGGCTGCGGGATCTCGCGGATTACTGGGGTTGCGTCGATGTTGCTCAGGTGGCGGTTCTCCATCTGTGATTTCATCAACGCAGATAGGGAAGGAATAGGTTCCCAGCTAGGAGGACATGTTGGGGGCAAAATGAACCGGAAAGGAGTTTTGTCCCCAGACGAATTGGGAACGAAGAAAGGTCGCGCCAGGACGTGTCTACGCCGTCCGATTCGACCGTACGACAGCATAAGAACGCGTTCGAGGGGTTTCATATATCCTTCATTTGCACGAGAGAGAATCGACAAGAGCTTTCTCGCCCGGCGTTCTAGGTAAAATTGACCATTAGGGCCTGTATATGAGTTTGGTATCACTCGTGGCCAGTACGCTCGATAACTCTCACGGACATGGCTGGACATATACTGGCGAGCAATGGGGTCAGGAAGATAGTCAGATTCTCTCAAGAGGGCCCTGTAGACATGCCGCCAATGCGGTGTCTGGGGAGGCGGTAGGGGCATGATTATTAGTCGCAAGGGAACGGGAATGACAAGCTCAGCCCGAGAGATGAAGGAGTTACGAACAGGAAATCTCAGACTGAGCCTGGACTGCTGACTAAGATAAACCGCGGAGTCATCCGACGCGGCTCAACGCGAACATCCAAGTCCCCAACCCCGCGTCTCAACAAACCTGCTTGGGTGGAATACGGACCGGATATTATACAACAATGAACTAGCTGCGATGACGGCGGTGTGGTGATCAGTGCAGCATTATTATAATTGGGTGTTGTTGAACTTTCCCCGCTCTGTCTTTTTCCACTAGATATTCTTCAATCTTTCTCTCCGGGAGAAGGGCTTTGTGTGGAATGTAACGTGACCACGCGCGCTCCAGGCTCAGTCATTTGACTTTCGCGCTCTCTTTTCAGTCTGTCTGTATGTCAATTGTCAACCCCGACCTGGTTATTATTCTATAGAATATCTCACAATGACATATACACGTTGTGATTGTTGGCTGTTGACATTGTTTTAAAAACGAGTTTCTCCTGTTACCCACGGTGTTGACCTTCCTGATTTTGAAACCGAAACCCCCTCGAGAGTTACTAGTACAGATCGACCGATTCAATCTGACAACTGGATATTTACCAAGTTCCCCGAATAAAGTATCCTCATGTCATTCTCGCGCGATAGCTTAGGCCCTTCCAATGGCGCGTCGTCGCAAAACCAGGTGGCCTCTTTCAACGCCTCCCAATCTGTGGCGTCGACCCCAGCTGCGACTCCTCCCCCCAGACTCTCGCAGCAGTCGAATATGTCGATGAGCTTTCCTAACAATGGGGCGTCGCGCAATTCTTTGCAACGGACAAGCTTTGGTGCTTATAATGATACCAATGGATTTGGCCAGGTGATCCCGTATGAAGAATACAAGCCACAGATATATACAGTACGGAACCGCTCTCTCTATTCCCCCAGTTTCTAATGTGAAACATTTTCTATATAATGCCTTCTTATGTAATGCGGATATTGCAAAACTAATTCGTGTGGCATGTAGGCTGTTTACTCCAATGTATCGGTGTATGAGATGGAAGTAAACGGAGTAGCCGTTATGCGACGGCGTTCAGACTCATGGCTGAATGCGACACAAATTCTGAAAGTTGCGGGGGTGATGAAGGCAAGAAGAACCAAGACTCTGGAAAAAGAAGTTGCCGCCGGTGAGCACGAGAAAGTACAAGGGGGCTATGGGAAATACCAAGGAACCTGGGTCAATTATGAGAGAGGTGTTGAACTGTGCCGCCATTATCATGTTCTTGAACTCCTGCGCCCTCTTCTTGAGTATGACATGGGCCAGGACGGTACTGGGCCCGCGGGTCGCGGAGCTGTGGAAACTCCGACCAAGGAGCAAGCGATGGCCGCGCAAAGAAAGCGGCTCTACCGGACAATGGACGGGCAAGGAATGAGTCAAACCCAGCAGGGCACTTACTTCCAAAACATTTCACGCACAGCCGTTAGTGCTGTAAATGCGATAAACAAGGCTCGGTTCGATTCGCCCTTGGGGAAAGGACCAGATGGCCGACGTTCAAGCATGAAGGTACCTTCCCATGTGGGCAGTCAAGAGTCGCAGATTCAGTCCGGAAGCCAGCAGAGCTTGCATAGCATTGCGTCGGACAGCGGCTTTGGTAGTAACATGCAAAATAGTCAGCAGGCAGGCCTTCTTGAACATGCCGATGAACCGTTAGAACCTCCTAGGAAACGAATGCGCTCGCTATCTGCTCATGAAAGATCGTTCCAGTCGCCAAATGGCATTGGCCCTAACAGTTCTCTGATTGAACCGTCGCCGACTGAGCCAAACGACTCGTTTTATCAAGTGCATCCTGGGGCTGGGTTGCCAGGTGGGTCAGCACGGGGTCTTCATCATCTTCCTGCTGCCACCACCCCAGACAGGTACCAAAAAATGAAACTTGTCATGACTTTATTCTTGGATAAACGCGCCAAGGATTTTTCTAACCATCCCGCTTTTCTTAATCTATCTGCCGAGGATTTGGAGATTCCCTTGGACAAATACTACAACAGTGCCTTACATTGGGCTGCCATGCTTGCTCGGATGCCTTTAGTCCATGCCCTCAAGGCCAAAGGTGTTAGCATTTACCGTTTGAATGGTGCTGGAGAGACGGCTCTGCAAAAGGCGGTTGGAACTAGGAACAATCTCGATTATCGCAGTTTTTCCAAGTTACTGCACGTATTAAGTCCTACCATTGAGATAGTTGACTACCATGGGCGTACCGTTCTTCACCATATCGCCATGATGGCTGCGACCGGTGGTGGAGGGCATGTTGCCGCAAAACATTATCTAGAATCCCTGCTTGAGTTCATTGTGCGCTATGGCGGACCTGCAGGGTCTATCAACGCATCTGCCAATGGCTCTAGCGATCAACCAACGGCTGGGGTGATAGGTCTGGGCAAATTTATGTCTGAGATGGTAAACATTCAAGATGACCAGGGTGATACCGCCTTGAATTTGGCTGGTCGTGCGCGGACTGTTCTTGTCCCCCAATTGCTCGAAGTCGGTGCAAATCCCCATATAGCGAATAACACAGGACTCCGCCCGGCAGACTATGGAGTCGGGGTCGACATGGTCAATGGCGGCCTGTCGGGGCAGAATGGGGATTCGGAATCGTTTGCTAATCGGCTTTCTAAAACTCGACGAGAGTTACTTGACTGTTCGTGCTACCTTTCCTAATTGTGTTTATGCTACCTTGATATATATATATATATACGTATATTTAACTAACCGATGAGCAGTAACTATTTCCCAAGTCTCATCCCTCGTTGAACAATCATTCAGTAGCATCGATAATGAATATTCGTCTGGTTTAGGAAAGAAGCAAGAAGAATTCGAACACTGGCACAATAAAATCCGTGAAAGTGCGAAAGCTAGACAGATTGAACAAAAGCAATTAGATGAATTGAAGCAGAGAGCCCGAGATCTCGTCGAACTTGATAGGCAAATAAAGAACCTCGAGCGCTCATCAGAAGAACTGACTGCACTCCTTAAGTCGATCCAGGGTGATCAGTTTAACAAGAAAATTTTAAGTATTGGAAATGCTGACGATGCTCTTGGGTTCGACATGTCTCAATTTAATACTCTTTTCCCGGATGACTTTGACATCTCAACGACAGCCAGGTTTTCGGACCAGCAAGTTGCATTCCTCCAGTCACTCCCCAGTGTTGAAATCCTAACATCCCAGCTTGGATGTTACCGCGAGCACAACGCTGAAATATGCAAAGAAGTGGAGAGTCTGAAGTCGAAAAACGTCGTCTTAGGCGAGAATTATCGGCGGATGGTCATGGCTTGCACAGGGTGGACTGAGAAACAGGTGGACGACGCAGCAGATGGCCTGACGGAGTGCATCAAAGATTTAAATGAGCATCCCCTACCAGAGGACGTTGCGATCGAAATCCTTATGAAGGATCGCGGGCAGGACTGGTAACGAAATATTACGACCTGGAAACCTGTTTATTTAGCCGGTATGCTGGAGTCCTACCTGTTTTACTGTTCATTTTTTTTTTTTTTTTTTTTTTTTTTAATATAATTTTTCCTTCTCTCCTTTTCTTCATGCATTCTGTACGGTTATATTGTTCGTTCTATTTCACCTTCGTGGTATCATGGATTGTGTCCGTTGTATCCTCGGTGTGGTTACTGTACGGCTTTTACTTCAACAAGCTTCTTTTGTTAAAATTAATCATCTTGGGAGGGAGGGGATTTCTGCATAGTTAGATTATGCCGAATTTTTCCACATCGAATCTGGGAATAGACACGCTTGCTTTGAGATAGCGACAACCCAGCTAAATGAACTGAGTTTAGTTGTTCAGGTCATGAGCACGGGCAATAAGATGAAGCAACGCAGTGGAGTGTCTATATTTAATACTATTTATTTGTGGACATAACATTCTTGATTTTTATGTACTTTTGCAAAAAAAAAAAAAAAAAAAAAAAAAAAAAAAATCACCGGCTTCTCCCTGTTGTATGATCCATAGAGAAAATGAATTCCCTGATACATTGGAAATGTTGGGCTTTTGTTCCACACCTTCATAGGCTCTGGTATATTAGTCTCAAATTTCCTATGTATAGGTGAATGGAAAACGAAATATCAAGCTGTTCCTTTTATATGTTTATATTCGAGGTAACTATGGAGGGGCATAGTCAGAACACCTATCCTATCGTCAATCACCAACTCGCGCTATTGCATCCTCTCGTTACCGTTCACGCTGACAGGAGGGTCACCTGCCTGTCAGCCACTGCGACCTGATTGCTGTGGACTAGTATCTTCGCCCGTTTTCGTCCTCCTTGCTAGCTCCGTATCGGAGTGTCCGGGTTCGCTGACCCCGCCCCACCACGCGGTTCCTGAGCAGAGAGTCGCAGCCCTCCAACCTTCAGGAGGCAGCGAGAATTATCGTTTCCACAACATTCAACCTGATACCATCTCAGATCTCAGACCTGACATCTTTGGTTTGGCTGAAACCACTCGTTGATACCCAGCTTCATCCCATTCTTCTGCAAATATACGTACCCATGGCGAACTATTATCCCGGTGGAGGTGCCCCTCCTGGCCAGTACAATGCCCCTCCTCAGGGAGGACAACCAGGATACTATGGACAACAACCACCGCAGGCAGGCTACCCTCCTCAGGGCTATCCTCCCGCGGACCAGTACGCGCAGGGCCAGTATGGACAGCAACCCCCGCCACAGCAAGACTATTATCCCCCCGCGCAACAAAATGTAAGAACCTGTTCCAATACCTTTCTATCAGCCATTTTAACGGCAGAGACAAGAAAAACTGCCAGTTCAGCCACATCCACACAATACACTATTCTAATTCCAATAACTCTTAACCGTAGGCACCCCAGTATGGCTCTCCCGCTCCGGGGCCCGCCGGACCTCATGGGCAGGGAGTTGATACCCGCGGCAACCAAGGTTACGGTGCGTACCCTCCGCAGCAGCACGGTGGAGAGAGTACTGGCTACTATGGAAATCAGCCTCCACCGGCATACAGCGCACCCGGTGGTCCTGGAGGACCCGCTGACGGCGAGAGGGGCCTGGGTTCAACCCTGTTGGGCGGTGCCGCTGGCGGATTTGTCGGCCATAAGCTCCAGGGTGGCATGCTGGGGACGTTAGGCGGAGCTGTTGTCGGTGCGGTTGGCGCAAATGCTGCGTCTCATGCGGTTAAGAAGTAAGTTTTTACCATCTCGTTCATCAACTTTGATTTTACAAATCTATCCGCTGGGGGGTTTGTTTGATGGATGAAAATTTAATTCGCTCCTTTTTTTACCCCACCGATAGGCACAAGAAGAAGGATAAACACGGGAAGAAGAAGGATAAGAAGTACAAGCACAAAAAGGGTGGGAGCTCGAGCTCTTCGAGTAGCAGCAGCAGCGATAGTGATTAGACCCGCAGTGTCTTATCCGGAATTGTTTTCCACCCATGGTCTGATTTTTCTTGCTTTGACTGATTTTTATGATTCGACTTGCCTCCGGGATTCGCTCGGGCTACGGAGGCTTTGCTCCGCCTGCACATGCGGCCTGAGGTCACGTTCTCTGTTCAGGGCTGCTCGTGTACGGATGTATCTGTTATTATCCAGTGATATCGAATATCCATTTTGTTTTCGCTCTGTTGTGCTGATGCCTTACCATGAAGCGTTGGGTTGATACTTCCTGGTCAAACTGGTGATATCCATAAAATTTTCTGGGACTGCGTCTTTGTCTTCGTTGGGATGTTCTTTAAAGCCATCTTTGGTTTTCACAAAAGTGTTGAACGGCCATCATGTGGATGCCATGTGCTTGGGGGGTCGCACATGGCAGTGATGCAGATCAGGGATGGTTCCCTTCGCTGCAAGTTTGAACTATCCGATCGGTTTTATCCAACATGTGGTTCACTGAGCGGTTCTGCATTGCCCCCAACAGCAGCCAGTGTCGGAAGATATCGAGCGTTAGAATACATCATACCGCAAGCCAGACGGAACCGGGTGGTCATATCCCATTGCAATAGGTACATTTATGCCATTTATCCCCGCCTGACATCTCGGACAGTCCTGCGGCTCTTTGATCAGATCAAACACAGCCTCATTTCAAAGATGGCATGAGTTCGTTGTACCACTTGAGCTTCCTGAAGCATCCCCTGGCCAATGAGTAACTGAGCCAAAGAGGATTGTCATCCGCTAGCTCGACCAGATGACGCGGTATGAGCCCAGCTGCTCTGAGATCGATGCTCACAGTTTGTTTTCCAGGTAGTGGCTGAACCTAGATTCACAGTCGGTATGTTTGCCCTGCCCTTATTGGCCGCTGAGGAATATGCCAAATATTACCTCTATCCAGCCTTCCGCTCGGCTGCGGGAACCTTACCAACTACTGAGCTCACCCGTTCCCCCCCCCTCCCATAGCCCATATTTGGTGACACCTGAGAATCGCAGCGGTGAAACAAGATCCGTGCGTTGATGGACCACAGATATGCGGCCCAATGCCCATTTTTTTTCCCTGCAAGAAAACCAGCATGTTCTTATCTCTCCCTAAAGGCTGAGTCTTGTCGTTTTCCGATAGGCTCCTTACATTCCGGGCTGTGGACTCGGGGCGCGCTCGTGGGCTTTTCTTGGCAGCGGAGCCAAGCCCGCCAAGCCCGCCGGAAGCTTTTGTGCTAACAATTAAAGCACCTCCGTTGGGAACAGGATGGTATGTCGACCGCGTCGTTTCCCTGCCTGTTCGTTCTTCTATATGCCTATTGAATCTGATTTAGATCACGATTTTTACTTTTGTGTGTTATCATCCGCGAGGTCCCCATTACAGGTTCTGTTCGATTCTATCGATTTTGTTGATATATGACATTTTCCTGTTATCGCCCAGCACTTGGCATGCGATTCCTCCAGTGCAGATCTTTTCAGCAATTGAAAAACACGCCGGTCCAGCCTCTCTGTGGCGGGCCAATCTCATTTCCTTACCATGGGGCATGGGCTTGATCGTAATTGATACAAGCCTTTTGGCAAATCAAAAACAAATTTTTTTTTTCTTCATCCAAGAGGAGAGGTACACATATGAGATTTCTGCCTTGCTTATTCCCTGATATGTTCTGGTTGGCAAAAATGGATCTTCCGCATATGCATGGAAATCTAGGAATGAGTTAATGCGTACTCATTGCAATAGGGGTCATAACGCTATTGTTCCCCAAGGAAAGACTTCGACGGGTTTGTGGGAGCCTGTGTTCTTAACATAAAATCGCCATTGCCCCAGTTCCAGAATGACGCCCAACTACGGTAACCAAATCAGATGCCCAGTATCCCACACTATGAGCTCAAAAGAGTTGAGTGTGCAATTTTCTGCCGCCTCTCCCAACGCACAGGAAGATCGTGAACTATCCAGATCGAGAAAAGGCGACAATGACCTGCCCCATCTCTCACGCAGTTCTTCTTTCACATTTGTTGATGTTGAGAGCTGCGTTTCCAAACTTCCTTGGCACAGTAGGCTCTCTCACCACCTCAAGGAGGAAGTCGATCCCGCTTTGGAGTGACATGCTCTTGCTAGCTTGTTCATTCTCCAGCGGAGTGATTGACAGCCTAGCATTCAGAGCGTGGGGGAGCTTTGCCAATATGCAGACAGGTATGTGATAGCTATCTATAACCCATACTTTGATAAAATCCCGCCGCTCAAAATTCAAAACCAGGGAACATCGTCTTCCTCGCTCTGGGTATTTCGGGGGATTCCAGCCTTCGATGGCCCAAATGCCTAATAGCGATAGCCGCTTTCCTTCTCGGAATCCTCTTCTTCATAAATGGTTCCCGCTTGCTCAACCCCCTCCGCCGTTCCACCCTGATCACCTCATTTACAATTCAGACCCTTGCTATCCTCATCGCTTCAATCCTCGTGGAAACGGACATGGTCAAAAACAAACCGGCGCACGGCTCCAGCGGCATTTCCTGGATGGAAGTCATCCCCATCTCCCTACTAGCATTCCAGGCCGGTGGGCAAATCATCACCTCCCGCCTTCTGAAAATAGATGAAATCCCTACACTTGTGCTGACGACGGTCCTATGTGATTTGCTCATTGATCCGCGGCTGCTCGCCAACCCTAACACTGTCAGAAATCGGCGAATTGGATCGTTTGGCGCCTTGTTTGTCGGTGCGATGGTTTCGGGCTTTCTGTCAAAAGAGGCAAGCGTGGCGAGCTCGTTGTGGTTAGCTACGGCGATTAAGGGAGCTGTTACGCTTTGCTGGGTAGTTTGGAAGGGAAAGGGGTTATGCTGAAATATCTATTATGAGTTGATGTGATATGCCGCAGATGAAATACGACGTCATACCATATGATCTGGACGATGATTTTTCTCTTCACTTGTGGTTTTCTTTCACATTTCCACCATTTTTCAATTATCTTACACGTCCTCTTTCTCCTGAGGTTGTCATTTTGATGTCCGGGGTCCTAGACAGGTACAGGCGGTTAATAGCCTCAATATACTTAATCATTCTTGCTCATACGTGCTCTCAAATGAGGATGCTGATCTCGGACTTAACCTCTCGCCATTGGTTTGAAACGCGGAAACAATAAAATAAACTTCTAATGAGTTGAGATGTGAATGATATAGCCCCCAAGCGTCTAACCGACCTGCTGCTATCTACAAATAGTGAAACAAGACATTCTCCCGAAATCGATCGAAAATCGAAAATCGAAAATATTTACTTCCGATACCACATCCTCGTTATTTTCGTGTTCGAAATGGACTTCTTGCGAAGCACAGCCATAGCATACAGAAGAGCTTCAGCAGTGGGAGGACAACCTGGGAGGAACAGGTCTACTGGAAGAAGCCTATCCACGCCCCGCACCACACTGTAGCTGTAGTGGTAATACCCGCCGCCATTCGCGCAGCTGCCCATGCTAATCACCCACTTTGGGTCCGGCATCTGGTCATATACCAGCCGCAGGGCGGGGGCCATCTTGTTCGTCACCGTGCCCGCCACGATCAGCAGGTCTGATTGGCGGGGTGAAGCGCGGAAAATAGTGCCGAGCCGATCTTGGTCATATCGCGGCATGGAGACTGCCATCATCTCAACTCCACAGCACGCAAGCCCCAGAGAAACCGGCCAGAGAGACCCTTGGCGCGCCCAGTTGGTGACTGCGTCGATGCTCCCGCTGTATTAGGGACGCGGAAGAATGGGGACGAAGGATGGGTTAGCATGGGAGAGACGCCAGGGCAAGAATCAAAGCGACTAAAACGTAAATACAAAGAGTAACGATACAGTGCATGATTCAGATGTATATAGTATTTTGTCGCTTAGAACAACGGGTGGGGTGGAAAAAGCCAAGGCTCAAATAGAAAGTTCTGTACAGAAAATGACCCATCGCGCCCGTCTTTTCATCCTGGCTGGGCAACAGTGACGCATTTCGCTCCATCCTAGCTACGTCTGGCACATTCGCAGTGTTCTCTCGAGGGGTAATCGACGAGGAGGACGTCGCATTATGGCGTCTAATAACTGATCCATACATTCCACCCGGTGGCTGTCCCCACCTTCTAGCTCCCCGCACAGTGGAAGAGAGGCCTGGTAAATGTTAGCGAGGAGGCCCGCTTGCAAGACGGCGGGGTGAGGGGGAAGATTTTGGAAGATCCAAAACTGCTTCTAACCTTTCGCTTTTGACAGCGAGAGTTTCGCAATGTCGATTCTCAAGCCGTGCAGTACCGCAGCCATGGTGATTATATAGCGGAGTGACCTTTAAACGGGTTCTCTGGCTGCTTGCTAGATGTAGCGAGGCAAAACAAAACATCGAAGCAAAACGTTAAAGAAAAAAACATAATCGGGAGGCATCTCGTTTCCTCCCCGAGACCATCACGGCTTTCCAGCGGTTTGGCATCGGGCAGTCGGGTTGCGAAAGGTCCGTCGCTCGTAATCGGCCTTGGCTCTGTATCAGTTTTTTCTTGATACGGTGATCGTTGAAGAGAGACTTGATAGGCGTCTGTATGAGTAAGGCGTCTGTGAAGGTTGGCCGTCTGTCCCTCACTTCCATTTTCAATTCTAACATTCATGGTGGTTGGAAGCTACGGCTTGAGGCAGAGAAGAGGGTATTTGAAATTTAGATTCTACTTGGATATATATCGTACAGTAACAACCGACAAAAATTGCCCAAAAAGTGCGCAGAAAATACCTAATTCCCCGCAGCACGCGCACGGGATTCCACGAGCGGTTGCATGAGAAAGTCATCAAAAGCGAGTTCCTCAGCCGTTGGCCTCTCCTCCGACTTCCAGCGTAATATCCTTCGGAGGTATTTCAAAAATAGAGCGCGATCCTCTTCGTTCAGTCGCCACTCGCGTGTTTCGAAAGATTGATCCGGGATGGGTATGGAGCCCTGCCAGTTTCCTGCCAGAAAAGAAATATATGTGAGTGTTTTCCCGCATGGATTCATATATAAAATATCGGGTCGATTGAGGTTTTGAGCAATAAAATGTTTGATTACCTTCTTCATCCCAGTACTCGAGACATTTGGAATTTCCCCTGATAAATTCCGGAGGCGGATGACCCAACAATGATACAATTTCTGCTAAATGTTGCTCGTCGTTTAATATGCCGTCCTTCCTGGCAATGAATAGTCGTCCGCCCTCGAATATGTCCCATGTCTGAAAGTATTTATATTAGCACCCATCAAACTCAACCGAACCCAACCAAAGTAGGAAGTCGCCTTGTCAGTGATTCTCGGGTTTTGGCTTATGATATGGTTTACGAGAGATGTCCTCATGCTTACCATTAGACCAATGGACCAAATATCAACTTTGCAGTCCCATTCCATGCCCAGGATAACCTCTGGTGCCCGGTATATCCCGGGCATGATATCCCCTCGATGCTTACTGCTGCCAATCCGCGCCTCCCCAAGATCGCAGAGCACGGGAAACCCAGTGCATATTGGCATGGGTCGAGAGGTATATATGGCACGATCATTTTCCAGGCTTTTCCTCGCGCTTGGATGATCGATTTCTTCCTGTTCGAGTTGTTCCAGGATAGAATCATCGTGGATGCCCTGGAGGAGATTGTTGGAGAAGATATCTCGAGTGGAGAAGTCAGTGAGTAGTGTTTACAGGAAGGATAAGGTGATACAATTTTTGGGCCGGCCCCCCCCCCCCCCCCCACAAAAAAAAAGGGAAATGGAGAAGAAAAAGAATCACCTGTATGCACAACTTCACTCCTGTGCAAAAAGACAACAGCAAAAAGAAGAAATTGGATGCTTCTCTGAACAAGGTCTTTCGGAAACGTCTTGTCTGGGAAGAGCTTGAGGAAATCGGTGAAGCTCATCCCAAGTGGCTTATAGACAAGGCACTGGTGCACTCCATTGGGAGGGGTGACTTCGAAGGAATCAAGGACTCTCCGGACAAGCTCTTCTCCCCCGCAACTCTCGAGACGGAAATCGTGGAGATGCTGGGAAACTATAATCTCATGGTGCTGATGTTGTTCTGTTCCCTCTTTTCGGCCAGATTCGGGAAATGGCGGTGGTTAAGTTGGTTTCGAATTGCATTCTCGGCTGGTTATTGCAAACAAAAAAGAAAAAGTTCATGTCAATGACCAGGAGCTTTCCAGCACGGTTGAGTTATGGACTAAAACGCTACGACAGCCATAACTACAAAGCCGTCCAACCTATTCAAAGGCCCCGAACTGGCGCATAAACACTTTTCGTGCCCATTCATTCATGCGAATAGGCCAGCCGATCAGGGATGGCTGGGAAGCCATGCCAACATTATGCTCCCATAGGGATATTACTCCTTTTTTGCCTCAGAAATCCATCCTCCACAGAATCAGCGCGAGGAGCGCACCGTATCTGTGCCGGGTGTATCTACTCTGTCTTGGATCCAACTTCACATCACTCACCGATTTGCCATCTATGCAAGATCATGAAACCATGTCTTGTCTCTGCGATTTATTGAAACCAAAGCTCTCGAGGCACATTCCTTTGATAAGACCCATTGCTTTCGTCTGCTCTCAGCATGAGGAGGAAAGGCATGCATGTAGCGAATGGATATAAGAGCATCTTATATCCCTAGGATTTCAGTTCTCATTTTACCAATCCTCTACATCATTTTGGTCTTGCTTATATCGTGCTAGATTTCCTTTTCACTGGCCATTTGATTGCTCCAAAATTCACTTGCCCGCATGTTTTGTGCCTCGGCCTCCCTCAGCATGAGATATATTGGCATTGCGATTGACGTGCTGAAGAACGAGTCTGGGCCCGGCTATAGCAATACCGCGGAGGCTGCCGGCAAGGCTATCGAGCAGAGAGTGAGCACGCCGCCGTGCATTATCCGATTTTTGGTACTTTGGCTAGTTAATAGGACCTTTCGCTTAGATACCTGCTGTCACTCAGGCAAAAATACAGCATGTTCCGTGAAGAAGAAGAAAGAAAAGAGAAAGAAAAGAAAGAAGAATAAGGAAGACCCCATTTTGGAATTCAATTTCTCACTCTTTTTACAGAGGCACTCGACCGCGTCGTTCTTCAAGAGAACCGACTGACACCAAGGAAGTCATTACTGTCTCGTTCCACTATGACAAGGGGACTAGACTGCTATCAATTCATGCTCATGATGACGGCACCTGGAACGAGTATTTCTCTCGCGTAGGAAAAAGCAAGTCGCAGTCGCGATCCGGATTTCGATCCGGATTTCCTGCTACAGAGGACGTGACAAGCGGAGACAATGGAGAAAATCCGGGTTCAACAGCTTAGAACATACCACCTTCTTCCCTTGCCACAATACTAACAAACCACATCGAGTCTGTCATTTTTCCGAGTATTCGATTTATTTTGCCGTGATTTCTATACGTCCCCTGATAGATAATAGATAGATATGCCTTCTTCTAACTGCATACACCAGGTTAGCTGGCTGGCCCATCTCCTGTTACCCAGTTTGGGCAATGGTATTTGTTGTTAAACCAGCTTGGGGGAATCTGCGGTGGCTTTTGTCTCTATTGTTATCTCAATTGTTATGGAGTACATACAATGATGAGGAATTGCTTTTTACAACCACTACCTTACTTGCAGCTATATTAAAATCCTAGCGCAGCCTGTCTCTTTGAGCAGTGAGTAGTAGCATTTTAATTGAAAGCCACTCCTGGTAGTCATGAAAAAATCATAGCAAAGCTCATATACTAAGCAACAAACTCCTTTTCTTCCTATAAAATAAACAATTCAATAGCAAGAAGCTCATTTTAGCAAAATGTATAATAAATCTGATCACCATGTTTCAATTGGTTTGTGAATTTTATAACAAAGACTATAACTACTGCAGTTTCTACAGAGGCCTCTGCGAAAAGTTTTGTCCCACGCTAAGAATTTACACTGAATTATCCTTACTAGTATATGGAATCTCCAGGCAGTACTACCTGGGATTTAGGCAGTGAGCTAGTGGGCAAGCTAGAAGGATTGGCCTCTATAAGCCCCCCTGTGACTCCCTATCCTTCTCATTAAGAGCTGGAACAGCAATACTTAAACGTCGGTATCAGTATTTCAGCTCAAATTATTAGCGCAAGTCAAAACTTTTCGCAGGAGCCTCTGTATTCCAGTCAAAGTTCAAAGAGATAATAAGAAAATAAGCCAAAGATGATCCAAGATAGATAATTGTTGATAAGAATGAAAGTAATTATGAATCATTTTGATAATAGAGTAGCTCTCATGATTAATTTTGTTGTATATAGCTAGCTCTTCCTTTCAAAACAGCTGTAAAGACCGTTTTGACAAATGGGTAGTAGTCTAACATCTATCTATCTATATATCTATATGTGTTTGAGTGGTGTTTCTTCTCCGTACCATTTCTGAATTTCTAAGAAGATCATACGCTGATAGAAATATATAGAGCTAAAACAAATGAAGACTCTCTCAGCAGAGCACAGAACACAGAGAAAAGAATTAACAATAATATGATTCAGAAATGAGAATTGTGAAGGTGTAAATAAAATGAAAACAAAATCTGAGAAGGCAATATAAAGAAAAGTCACCACAGTGAACTGTTATCCGAAATTGACTCTCTATATCAAAAACATCTAACAAGCAAAAATTCAATGATCAAATAAATACAGGTTAACATGAAAACCTCTATAAATCTATCTATCTATTGATTGATTCCTTCTGCCAATGAAAATAAATGGAATTCCCTTTTCTATTTTCCATTTTCTATATTTTTCCTTTCACAAAAATTACAAGTTTGACAGCTAACAGTAGTTAAATGAAACAAAAGGGGTGCAGAGACATCAAGATGAGTTATTAAGAGTAAAAAAACACAACCTAAAGGAAGATAGATATCACTTGAAAAAATCAGAGCAAGAAAAAGAAAAAATAACATTTTTGTAAGCCAGATAACACCCATTAATAAATAGATAGCAAAAAGTACTTAAATCAACCCAAATCCCAGTCGTATGAACAAGCGATCATCATTAAGCTCCCGAGCGGGAAGAGCAGAAGCAAGGAAATTAATTCATAAGAAAGGGGAAAAACAATTCAAAAAAAAAAAAAAAAAAAAAAAAAAAAAACATCTCTCTTTACAAGTCCTCATCGCTGAAAACCTCCTCGCCAGCGCGGCGGCGAGCCATACGGTCCTTGCGCTTCTTTCGCAGCTCGGATGCAGTGAGTTTTTTCGCCTTCTTGGTGGATTCGATTTTGTTACCTGGAGGTTTGAATGGTTAGCAAAGCAACTTTCGTATTATATATATATATATACGTATATAGGAGTGTAGAATGAACAGAAAACATACCCATAGCATCGAATTTCTCCTGGTCGTCCTCCTTCTCCGTCAGACGGGGGCCCGTGCCCTGGCCTTGCACCCAATTGTGGCCGGACGGCTGCATGCGGCCGATGCCGTCCGATTCGGACTTCAGCACGGACCAGATTTCAGAAGTCAGCCCTTCGGTGAACTCTGAGGAGTGAGTGATGATGATCACACCGCCCTCGAAGGATTTCAGGGCCTTGGAGAGCGCTCCGAGCGAGTCGCGGTCGAGGTAGTTGGTTGGCTCGTCGAGGACGATCAGATGCGGCCGCTGCCACGAACAAGCTGCAAGCACGACCTTGACCCGCTGGCCGCCAGAGAGGCCGCGCATGCGCGAGTGCGAGACCAGCTCGGCATCGAGGCCGAAGAAGGAGCAGTGCTGTTCGATCTCCTTGCGGACGAGAGGGCGGAATTGGCCGCTGGCCAGAGCCTCTTTCTGGTCAACCTCGGCGACCATCTTGGCGTGTGAAGCGAGGATCTCGTTACGGGGAATCCAGGCATTGTCTGCCGTCATCATCGGGGTCCATTTCTCGTTCTTCAGGCCGACATTTTCGCCCAGGACGAAGGAACATTCGTATTCGTAGGAGTTCTTGAACTTGCGGCGGGAGTGGATGCCGATGACACGACGTTTGCTGCCGTCGATGTTGAAGATCTTGTCCATTGCCTTTTCGTCATCCTCGGTGACGATCTTGTTAGCGCGATCCATGGTTTCGCGATCCTCGCCGGTTTGGAAACGCCATTGGATGTATTCGGAAGGCGTTTTGTCGAGGTGGTTGTCGATATGGGCGAAGGCGTGCTGTTTGATGTAGGCGATACGGATGTTCTCGTGGTGGTAGATATCACCGCTGGTGGGGATAAGTTCGCCTGTCAGGACGTTGACCAGTGTACTCTTGCCAGCACCGTTGGGGCCAATGACGGCGATACGGGAACCGAGCGAGCATTGGAAGGTGATATCTGCAATCTGGGGCTTGGAGGTGCCGGGGTATTGGAAGGACATATTGTTGACGCGAACGATGGCCTTGGCCTTGGTCTTGACACCTTCAAGGAAACCTGGCTCTGGGAACTTGAACTCCATCTCCGAAGCCTCGAGCTCAAAGTAAGAGCGGGCGGAGGGGCAACGCTTGGCGAATTCAGTCAAGTTGCCACGGTATCTGCGGAGCTTGAAGCGCTCGTAGTGGATAACGTGCTGGACGACGTTGTTCAAGAACTTGCTATCGTGCGAGACAATAATGCAGGTGCAAGGAGAGTTGATGAGGTAATTCTCGAGCCAGGCAACGTTTTTCACGTCAAGATGGTTGGTGGGCTCGTCGAGCAGGAGGATATCTGGCTCCTCGAAGACAGCACGGGCAAGAGCAAGCTTCATCTTCCAGCCACCAGAGAGAGAGGTGATGGGGCCTTCAAATTGTTCACGGAGGAAACCGAACTCGACTAGGCGAGCCTCGATAGCATCAGTGGAGATGTTGACGCCAACCTCGGCCAGCTTCTTCTGAGTCCAGCCTATGACGGTCTGCTCAGTATCAGCAGCATCAAGGTCGTGCTCGACGAAGACCGTCTTGACCTGATCCTTCTTGGGGAAACCCTCGACCTGCTCGTTGTTGATGGCGCGCATGAGGGTGGATTTACCGGAACCGTTGGGGCCGAGGAGACCATATCGTTGACCGCGCTTGAGGCGCAGGTGGGTCTGGTTCAGCAAGATCTTAGCACCGTAGGCCAAGTTGAACGTGCAGTTGCAAAGATCCTCGCCTTCCTCTTCGTCGGGCTCAACGGCAGCCTCATCAGCAGCGCCGGGAGAAGCACGGAGACGCAGAGTCTCGGCAACGGATCTGGCGTCGGCTTCACCAGTAATGGCGGTGATGTAAGGCAGGGTGTTCTCGGTCCACGACGGCAGGTCAATGACTTTCTCATCGACAAGCTGGCCGGCAATGGCTGCGATGTAAGTGATGGTAGGCTCGGAGGCGGCGATCTGGGCTTTGTGTTTGGCTTGGAGGATATCCTTGAGGATGGCAACGACGGTCTCAACGTCGCCAGCCTTGGAAACCTCGGGGATCTTGCCGTTCTTGACATGGCCAACACGGATGAGGGTATCAAGACCTTGCTTGGTCTTTTCACGGGCCTCAGGATCAGCCAGATTTTCGTAGTTCTTCTCAAGCGCAGGCATGAGTTTTGGCAAGAAAGCAGCGACGATCTGAGGATCCTCGACGAGCTTACACATGTTGTCGACAATGACAGCTGACTTCCGCTTGATGGCGGTATCCCGCTCGGCAAGACCACGGTCAAGCAGGGGCACCATGATAGCCAAGGTAGGCTCATGGACATCGGTGACGAAAGTGGTGGCACCGAGCAAGTGAATGGTCTCCGGGACATTCTCAGGCTTGGCGATACACTTGATCAGCTCGGGAATGAAGCGTTCGATATCCTTGTTGACGATCAGGCCACAGACTTTCTCCATGATGCTGTAGGCATATTTCTTGACTTCTGGCTTGGTATCCCACATGGACTCGGACACCACGGGAATCAGATCTGGAACGCGGTAGGCGAGCTGGGCCGGAGAGGTTTCGACCAGGGCCTCGACGCACTGTAGACCCGTCATCTTCTCCTGCCATTTTTGAGCAGAGAGGATGGAGTTGATGATGGGGGGCAGAGCAGCCTTGACGGAGTTTGGATTGATGGCCTTGACAAGGGCAACAGCGGCAGCTTGAGCGACATTCTTCACTGCGACCATCTTGTCGCCAACCGCTGCGAGAGTGGGAGGTAGCAGGTTGACCAGGTATGGCTCGAAGGCCGGCGCAACGGACGAATGAAGGGCGATGGCGAGGATAGCCTCGAGGGCGCACTCACGGGCACTGGCATCTTTCTTGTTTGCGAGTTGCTTCTTCAATAGTTCGACAGCCCTGAAAAATGCATGTTAGTCGGGTTTTTTCGTTTGGGGTTTTCACTGCCCAAAGCAGAGACGAATGTGGGTGGCATACTTGGCTGGGAGAACCTGCTCTTCGACAGGGCCATTCAGAAGGGTAGCAATGTTGGTAGCGGCGGCTTTAGCCTCGTCAGGGGTCTTTGTGAGTGAGAGTGATTTGAGGAGTTCTTCGAGGACGGCGATGGATTTGGAAGCGTCTTTGGCAGACATGGCTGGGGTAGAAGGGGCAACGTCGACAGCAGGCATTTTGAGAGAAGAAAACAGGACTTTTGGGAGTTAAAAAAAGGGAGAAAAAAAAAGGGGGAAAAAGAAGGAGAAGAAAGAAGAAAAGGGTATTTATTAAGAAAAGGGATGTCTTTGCAGAAAGGAGAAAGAGGATGAGAAGTTGGATTCTTATTCGATTTGTAGCGCCCAAGAGAAGAAAAAAGCGTCTTCGCAAACGCGGAGGAAAATGGGGGCCAGAGAAAACCGTCTATGGAGGATTCTATATTTTGTCTATCACAGGAAGAAGCCGAGGAAGCCGACGAGAAGAAGGAAAAGAAACAAGGGAAGAGTGGAGATGGGAGACAAGGAGGACGAGAAAGATGGAGGAGAAGAAGAAGCGAGGGAAAAAAAAAAAAATCGGTGGACGGCAGAAGTTGGAGTCCCTTTTAAAATTTTCGAACCTTTTTTTTTTTTTTTTTTTTTTTTTTTGACTTCCCTTGCGGCGAGGGTCCGAACGCTAGTCCGCAAAGGGGTATGGTATGGTATGGTATGGTATGGTATGGTATGGATTGGTCTGGTTATGGATTGGTCTGGTTATGGATTGGTCTGGATTGGGATAACGGTACGGTAACCCCTGTCATATATATATACCACATCAATATCCATTAGTTACTCTGTTACTATTTATTTACTATTTAACTGCTATGTCCTATTAACCATTGGATTGGCTTTTTCTGCCTGTTGCTGAGCGGCTTCAGGGTAAGTTGTAACTTAGCATCATCATCACCATCGTCATTATCACCCGCTGTCAGGACCCCAAGCAGATAACGGGCATCAACCAATCTGTGGATCGTGGCGTTGTGTCTGCAACCCTAATCAAATGCCAAAACGCCAGCCAACTCTCTCACCAAGCTACGGGTTCCAGCCATTTCCAGCCAGGCAGAGGATGCCGGCCGAATTTTATCAATTTTATTGTGTGTGGGTTTCTTATTTACGGCGTAAATACACCGCCTTTCTTGGCTGGGGTTGATGGACAATAAAGAAAAAAAAAAAAAAAAAAAAGAAAAAAGGAAAAGAAAAGAAAAAAATCCAGAGAGCTCTTATCTTATGACTTATCAACCAACCCGGAGAGATTTTGCTTACCAGAAATGCTTTTTGTGAAACGCTGGATCCCTCCAAGTAAAATAAATATATCATCATCATCAGCAGCAGCAGCAGCAGCAGCATCATGTATCAGCCTTCATCGACCACGTACGTGTATTCATCCACACAGAGTAGCAGATAATAGGGATTAACGAGATCAGTTACCCATGATGGGCTTTCTGATCAAGTGTACGGAGTAAACATGGTTGGCTACGCGCAGCCGGAGTCTGGTCCGCAAATGTACTCAAAAAGCAGAAGCAAAAAGAAGCAAAGAAAGGGAGAAAGGGAGAATAGAAAGAATAGAAGAATAGAAAGAGAAGAAGTACTCTCGTGAGTTTGTCAATCAAAATAAGAGGTCGAACTAAACTCTTCTCCGTCAGTGTACTCCGTATGTGTAATGCATTGCTTCTCTACCCTGGGGCATCCCAAACGGTCTGAAGGTGTGGATAGACAATTGGCTCGGGATCAGGGTTGAGCCCTGGAGGGACGTGGATATCGGGCACAAGGTGTTTGTTGGTTGGCAAGCTCTGTTGGTGCCGATGAGCTGCCAGGTAAATATATACACAATATGCATATAGGAAATTCTCCAAGTCAACCAACATCTATATAGACTATCCGTCTTGTCTGCCCACGATGAGACGATCTCCTTTTTTTCATATCTTCCTTGTCTCTGGCCAGCGCCATTCTCGCCGTCAAAGCCATAGCCATGCATTACACACAATAACCCTTTCATAGACATCTTGCCAGACGACGCCCGCGCGAATGGCTACCCGCTGATTTCTTTGTTCGAGCTCCTGGTTGACATTGGACACCTGTGGGCCATCTTCATCCTCTTCTCGCCACAGCACCAACAAGATCGGTCCCTTCAGATTGCGTTTTTCTCTTTGATTCCGCATGCTGGTAGATCCCGAAACCAACAGCGTTTACCATGTTATTTAACCAAGCCGCTTTACGGCTTCACGGCTTCGCGAGCTCAAAAGGATCCTTGTGTCTCCGATATATCCTCTATGTATATATCAAAATATCCATTATCGCCGTACTTCCTATCGAGTGGACAATATTACTATGGTCCCTTTTTCATCACCAAAAAGGGACTTACAGATGGTTCTCAATACTCGGATATTTACGTTGATAAATGCGACTTCTCGTTGATGGTACCTCCAACAGCGACCAGTCCAGCCTCTAAATACATTACATTTAGGCTGCTCAACAAAACAAAAAAACCAAATAAACATCCATCATGCCGCCCGCGGGATCTCCAGCCACGCTCTTCGCGTCCTCTCCGCGCTCGTACGGGAGCATAGACAACAGAGAGCAACCGACCGTTCACGAATACACTGAAGAGGCAGGAAACCCTTTCAAGGACATCCCCAGCCCCACAGAGAGCTGCTCATCAACCTGCTATCAAACCCCTAGGGCCGATCGGTTCTCACACACACTGCCTACCATTAGCCTCCCAGGACGCCAGACGTCCTTCTCCAAGAAAGACGCTGCGACGCTTCTGGAAGAAGATACAACACGAGCAACCCAACATCAAACCGTGATCCTATCTCCCACAGAGAAAATGGAGAAAATAGAGAAAATGCCACATACAGATCACCCCTTTATCGCGGAATTCCTCCCTCTTCCACCGACGCCCGCGATAATCTCCCAACAGGCCTCTGACGACCGCTACTTCATCCCCACCAGAGAACTCCCAATGCCGCAGCGCGGTTGCTGCGCGCAGCTCGGCTTCCTACTCGTCACCCTCTGCCCCATCCTCATCGTCCCGCTCTTCTGCACCTTCGCGCTCCTCGGCCTCTGGATCCCAAAATCCGGCGGCGAAAACGCCCTTGCGCTGCTGCCTCAACTGACGGCGCCTGGTGTCACCATGACGTTGATTCCCGTGCCGACGGAGACTATCACTCGGACTGTGTGGCCTACAAGCAGCGCCCTCGTAGAGAGCACGAGCATCGTGGTCGACGACCCGGCGATTTCTATATATCCTGATGCTGTGCGTCCTAAGGGAGGGCTATCTCCTTAAGCTACTGGGGCAGTGGGTAGAGGTCTGCTACAGGTGTTCGCTCGAACTTGTTGAATTCGATGGGGTTCATTCGTGAGCTGCATTTTCGTATGGTAGCTGGTGAAGTGAAATGAGGTCCCTTGTTTGGACATATATTCTATACACACACACAAAAAAAGAGATACCCCCCGCCCCCCACGCCCTCGAATACCTCTGTATATCTCAAATATCGAGTACATTTTCACCACACTCAAGAATATTATTGATATCACCTTGATGCGTTAGATGATTTTAGAATCACACTATTCACTGGAGCAAACTCGCTATTTCTAACCGGTGCATACGATACACTTCTAGATTTCTCGTTCTTTGTTTATATTTACTATAATATTTGGAGACACATCATCTACCGCAAAATGCTTCTTGACCTTGAATTGCAGCGGGACTGTGACTTCAGGGATGCAAGATGCAATGCTATTATTGCCTCCAACTTGATTCCCAATTGCCTTCTCCCTCATGTTGAGTTTCTATATTTGCTGTCCCGTCCTGTTTGATACATGCCAAGCAAAAGTTCCTTGTTATAGCAATCATGGTTCCATATGTTCCGTGGAAAATAAAAGGGACATCACATTGCGATATCACAGCAAGCTCCTTCTTTGCGTCGATGCGGAGTAGGGCTTTCAATTCTTTCAATTCTCCTTCTTGGGACTACTCGCCTGGCAAAGATCGTATCGAAATATTTGTCACATTGGCAGTGGTAGTTTGATAGTACCCAAGCAGATCTCTACTGGATAGAGTTATAATACTCCTAACGCACCTGTGTCATAACGCCTTCTTTGCACGTCCGGCCACCACATTCAGCTCTTCCACTAACTGCCCTACCCTGATTCGAGAGATGGATCCGGGCTTCCCACACCCACCACACCCGCCGCCCGAATATACCAGTCAACCTGCCACTCCCCGTCGCGAGGTTGATGATTCACCCATCTCCGCAGGTCCAAGCAATACACCCCGCGGCGCTGTATTCCGAAGATATTCTTCCTAACGACTCCCGCTCGACCTCCCACAAAATCGCCGGAAACGAAGGCTGCGTCCCCACCCATATTCTTGCTGAGTCAATAGAGTTAGCAGAGCTGCATCGCATGGCATTAGAGTTAACGTCCGAGCATGGTGTGGCTGGCAATGATGATTTTGAGGAGCTAGATGGTGCCCACCCTCACGGTATTGGCGCAGCAGTTGACGACAATGCATTGCCAGGATACGAGGACTTCGTCGAGCCGCATGGACAGGCCTTCCCCTCAGTACAGACAGGCATCTACCATGGACGAATAATGCCACGGGAAAACGCTTCCGCATTGGGTTATGGACCTGCAAATTGGTTCGCAAATGCTGCTCCCGCGTTGTCAACTGTACAACCGGGGCTAGCAACACACGCACATACTAACTACCCTGCACCGTATGGAGTCATGTTTTATCCGAACGTCCACCAGGTTCGCCTGGTCGGCGCGGGATCAATACGCGTCAACGCGGGAGAAGGTAATAGCAATCATGGTCTGCACGATACAGAGCCCGCGCAGGGGAATATCGCACCACCGTCTGATCCTCCCGCTGCTATCGTACCAGCTAACACTAATGCAAACCGGCCAAAGCCTCCAACCCCTCCAACCCCTCCGAGCCCCCAAAACATCACCGATAACGAAAGCGCTTCAGCAACCAGCCCACCCGCGGACGGAGAGTGTCAGGACTAGGACGATCGCCCCGGACCACCCCCAAATCCCAACGATGACAATGCCGAAACTGGCCCCAGCGCGCGCATAGCGTACGCCCGTCCTACTGTTAACTTGAATCACGCCATCTGGGTACTTGTTGGCCTAACTACTCTTGCCACGGTCGTTATTTCTATAGTGTTAACCAGCCGGCGGACGAAATAGTCGAAAGTGGGCGATACTAACCACCCCGCATCACCGCCCCGTCACGCCATTTTCACTCTTTCCTACCAATGTTGTCTCATTGACACATTCCACGGCGGCGCCGGACGATGATGATCTGATTAGGGAAATATGGGATTGCGATTAGGGACGGCCTTGGCATGGTGGTGTTTGGATATTTGGTGTCCCATTTCTCGTGGTTGTGTGTTTAAAGACAGGGGCTGATGGGATGCGATAAATAGTACTCCGTACGGAGTATGTTTTCAAAATAGCGGGTGCTGGTTCCATTCTCTATAAGGGTTTTGTTATTTTGTTATTTTTATTTTATTTTCCTTTTGCCATGCTCTGAAATGTCCTCCCCTCTTCTCCCCCCGGGTTCTCGATTAGTCCTTTTCCTTGAGTTCCTCCCTGGCGCGTTTGAAGAAGAACTGTTGTCCTTCAAGTCCTGGCTGCGGGCGATAAGATTAGGGTTTCTGGCCCCACTTATATAATCAGAGGGTTTGTCCGCTGCGTAGAACCAACAATTTTCGGCGGCTGATGTATCTTGCCTTATTGTTAAATTGAGTCTTCTGCAAAATCCTCGGGATCGTTAAATAAAATCGTCTGTAGACAGCTTGCTTTTGATTTTCGTCGAATGTGTGGTGCAGGATAATTGCGGCGGGGGAATTTTTCCTTGCCTAAAATCTTCTTCTCCATCTGTGGGGGGAGAAGAATAAAAAAAAAAAAAAAAAAAAAAAAAAAAAATTATACCACCAACACAAATCCACATATGGCGATCCCAGAACATCTCCCAGCGTCCTTGGACCTTTTATACACTAGTCCATCTTCTTCCTCAATTTTTAGATACGACGCTCTCCGGCTGTCGGACAAGGAATACGAGGCCGTCCTCCGTCTCCCGCTAACAGAGCGCATTTGCGGTCGCCGCGCTGAAAATCCAGTCTTTCAGGACGGCATCAAGAATTGCCGCCTGTCCTATATCGACTTCCTCAGCGGAAATATCGACGCGGTCTTCCGCGCGGACGATCCTGCCACTGCGCCGGCTACGCGCTCGCGGCTCCTTCACATAGGCATCGCCGCGTTGTCTGCGTTCCTTCAGTCGAATGTCACTGGCCCTCCGTTAGCGTTTCGGGCGTCAGATCTACTGATCCCAAAGTTCTTAACGGACACAAACGATGGGGCCCCATGTGTGGCGCAAGCTCTGCGATCGTTGCGCGAGGCGATGGTGCGCAGCTTGACTGTTGACGGGGAGGCGGCGTATAAGCTTACCCCCAACGTCGAGCTGTTTTGTCTTGCTAAAGCGATTCTGAATCATTCGGCCATCACACCCACTTTCAATGGGGAGGGCGACGTGGCATTTGCGGCTCCTTTGGCAGCCTGGAGTTCTCGGATGAGGGTTAATTTTCTGCACCAGAAGATGTTATCGGAGAATACGACAACGTTGCAGGCAGCTGTTTATACCGACTTGGAATTTCTGGCGGGGAAGATTCTGTCATCCAATCCTTCGTCGTTGCGAACTGCGGAGGAGCGTGCAAGGTTCCTTATAGAGAGAGCCACGATTCATACCCATCATGGATTCGATGCCAAGGCTCGAGCAGATCTTGAGCGTGCAGCGGGCGAAACTGGGTTCCAATATGCGTTGACTGGAAAGCTGGGGAAGCGGACGAAGTTCCAGGACCGCGATATTAGCCAACTAGTCGTTTTGGCGAAGAGTGCAGATGAGGGACATGCGTCGGCTAGGGAGTCTAAGCATAAGGAGGATCTCTCGGCCTTGGAGCCGGAGACGCACACAGCAGCAGCAGAAAGCGCCAAACCCAAAACTTTGGATCTTAATGACGACACACTTTTAGAAGCGATATCCTTCAAGAAGGATGAGCCTGTGGAAGCTCAAGAGATATCTATGACGGTTCAGGATCCCTCGTCCCTGCCACCAGTTCTTGCAGTTCTGGACCCCTCGAACCAGCCAAAGCTGAATGCATTGGATTCCATCATCCTTCTTTCCATCGCATCCGCGATAACAAACACCTCTCCAGAGCATGGCCTTACGAGAGAGGAAACGCTGCCCTATGCGACACGGGTTCTTGATGGTGGAAGCTCGAACTGGCAAGTTTATTCCCAGGCCCTGCTGGTTCGAAGTAAGATCGAAGGCTACAGGTCACGGACGGTGGAGCGAGGACTGCTCCAACTACAAGCACTTGTCGATCAGGTCATCGCTGATACTGCGTCGGATCCAATTTCTGGTGCCGATAAGGCGGCTGAACAAGCCACCACCTTTCTCCCGCGCCCTGAGCCATCAGAGTCGGCACCTGCAAGCGACCGACTCCAGTATATCTGGCTGTTAAATTTCTCTACGAGATGGGACCTCGAAGCCGAGCTTGCTTCGCGGTGGGTCAGTCTGGGCGGGCTCCGCACTGCTCTTGACATTTACGAACGATTGCAAATGTGGGCTGAAGTTGCCTTGTGCTACGCCGCTACGGAAAGGGAAGAGATGGCTAGGATACTCGTGCGGAAACAGTTGTTTAATCGTACGAATCCTGCCTCTACGGATGACAATGATACCTTCGAAGGGTCCGAGCTTGTGCGGCTTCCAGCAGATGCCCCACGCTTGTTTTGTATTTTGGGAGACATTGACAAGGACCCTGGAATGTACGAACGTGCATGGACGGTTTCGGATCAGCGGTATGCCCGTGCCCAACGTTCCCTTGCACGCCATTATCTCACTACTAAACCACCGTCGCTGGAAAAAGCGGAGGAAGCATACCGCAAGAGTTTAGCTATCAATCGATTCAACCATGGCGCCTGGTTTGCACTTGGATGTGTGCAGCTAGAACTGGAGAAATACGAGGATGCCGTGGAATCCTTTACACGAAGCATCCAGCTGGATGAAACAGATGCTGAGGCCTGGAGCAATCTCGCCGCGGCATTGATCAACCTTCCACCACCAAACATCGTAGAAAATTCGGAACTAAATACACCAGCACTAGCCGCAGATGAAGAGGAATCCGCACCTATCCCGCAGAGACCCGATCCCTACAAGCATAAACGAGAAGCCTTGGCCGCCCTCAAACGTGCCGCCAAATACAAACACACTAATCACCGCATTTGGGAAAATCTCCTAACCGTCAGCGCATCTATCCCGCCTCCAGAAACTCCCTTCCGTGACGTCGTCTACGCACAGAAACGGCTCATCGAGCTTCGCGGCCCCAAAGAGGGGGAGAAAGCAATCGACATCAACATCCTCACCGCCCTCGTCAATAGTCTTACATCAGGCCATGCGTTTGACAGCGCCAGAACTGACACGGCCGATACTCCTGCACCAGCTCCGGTCTTCCCCCGCGGAACCCTCCCAGCAATCATCCTCAACCTCCTCGACGAAAACGTCATCCCGCTCATCACGCACTCGGCACCGATGTGGCTGCTTGTCGCGAAGGTAGAGGCATGGCGAAGGAAGCCCTCCCGTGCCATCGCGGCCCACGAGAAGGCGTGGCGTGCTGCCGTCGCGTCGTGCACGCAAGGAGCGTTCCGGATGGGCGATGAGGCGAAGTGGATGGAGGTTGTGGAGGCGACGGAGAGGGTGGTTCGTGAGGGATATGCGACTTTTGGGCCAATGGATAAGGAGATCGAGGGAGATGGGGTTCCGGGAGAGGATTCGAATAGGGGGGGCCCGGAACTTGTTGCGAAGGATTGGAGGTTTAAATCCCGTAGTGCAGTGAGGAGCGTGCAGGGGAAAGGCAAGGAGTTGTGGGAGGGAACTGAAGGTTGGCGGCGATTGAAGGAGTTGAGTGGTGAGGTTAGTTAGGGGGGTAATGTAATGAGGGTAATGAAGTTGATAAGGGCGATTATGATTACTGATTATGGATTCCTTTGTTGAATGATTTACGTCTGTCTTATGTCTAATATAGAGAGCAGAGAGATAGACAAAATGGGAGGTTTTAAGCAATGCACAGGGTGACGAAAGAGTGACGAGACGTTGAGCGAAGACTCCAGACGAGAACAACGGGTGGTTAGAACCAGCGGCTTGAAGTAGGGAGCCATGAAAAATGGGGCAAGAAGAACAACCCAAAAAAAAAAAAAAGGGGGGGGGGGGGTGGGCGGGGGAACAAAGGAGGACAAAATTGCATATTCATTGTGCAGTTGAAATCCCCCCAGAATATTTCGGAACGCGCACATCATTTTAGAAATCGAATCAATATCGCATTATGACAGCTGGCCTGGTCCAATCTGCCGTAGCAAACTTTGCCGTGATCGAAGCCGTGACGGCAATCTCTTGTGGCTCTAGTTCCAATGCTTCTGCACCAGAGTCTGCGTAGGCAGCTCTAGCCATCGTGTATCGACGGACCGGCTGCGAACTAGATTCAGGGAAAGTTCCACCCTGGTCGCTAATTTCCACCACGGACACCTCTCGAGTAACCACTTGCGAGTAAAGTGTTGCCTTTTCAATCGCGTTTAGCAGAGCCTTGTTCCGCGCCTCCTTGTTTAGCTCCGCAGATGTCGCGTTCGTCAGCCGCCAGTCGATTGACTGCACTTCAACGAACGGCATCATGAACAGTTGGGATGCGATCTGGCCTAGCTTGGCAAAGTCGCGAAAGACTGCAGAGAGGCTGGCAAAGGCCGAGAACTGGCGTGGGCCAGTGGGTATGTTGTTTATGTCCGTGGGGATTCTCGAGGAGGTGGTGATTGACCCAATATTAAAAGTCGTGATTGGTGCATCTGAGGTCGCATGGCTATCCCCCGTCCTGGGAGATAGCGCGCAGAACTTCTCGTGGAGTGTGTTTACTGCCCTGGTAGCGTTCTGGGCTGCTTCGTCCTGACTTGAACTCTCCGCCGCCACACGCACACGGAGGCAGGCTCTCTCAGCAGGACGGCTCAGTCGGCATTGACCAGAAACGTTTATTTCGAGAACAGGCATTTTAGTTGCATTTGATGTCTTGGAGTTCTTGCAAGAGGTTTGAAGGAGTAGTTGCAGTATGTAGGTGAGGGGTATGTCGAAATCAAATGAATGAGGCGTCTCTTAAGGCTGCTGATTGGGAAGTTGTTTGGAGAATGATAGATATGCTTGACCAAATTGATTGGGCTCGTCCAGCCTTCGCCTAATCACCATCTGCCCGTTGTTGACTCTGAACGGACGATGGAAGGGTGAATAAAAGGGATTTCCAAGTGTGCCCTCTGTGTGATCTTTCAGTTGTCCAGGAATTGTCATGCTATAGTTACCTATTTGTTCCCTTTTCCCCTTGAGGCCAGGCTTGCTTCCCCCATCATCCACAAACAGGAAGTTATTTTTTTCTTTTTTTATTAAATAAAAAGGACATGGGACAAGGAGGCATTGAGCAGGGAAGGAAAGCAGCTATCAACCTCTCGAACAATACTCAGGAGGAATATCTAGACAAGTTTCCTGGTGAAGGTGAAGACAATGAATCTATGAGTAGTTAGTTAACTGACTAACTGCTGCTGACTAATCTCTCGCCGTTGCTAAGTTATTAACTAGTTAGTTAGTTACTCCGTAACTAACTAACTACTACTCCGTACTGATATTCACAACGAAGAACCCATCGAGAACAAAAGCGAGAACAGGCGAGACGGCACAAGCTGAAGAGTCGCCGGAAGCCACACATTTAAAAATGTGTTTTAGCTTGTTTCCTTGCCCTTGACCCTGCCGTCCTTTCTTCATCCTGCATTCCTCAAAACACAAACACAAGTTTTGTGTTGAGAGGCTTCATTCCGCTTCAGGTACATGTGATTTCCCACCGCTCCGAAGCACCACGACTTTTTTACCTCCCCCACGACGACACGAGAGCTGGGGGCGTATCATTTGCGTCACTCTCGTCATGGAGAAATTTTCTCAGTTCAGAGATAGAGGTACGCCCTTTGCCACAGAACCGCCCTTCGTGCACACCACACAGCTTAGGCCATCATCGTGGCTGATGAACGTTTTCTAGGTTCGGGAATCGCACCTTTCCTACCTATCTCTTCTCAACACTCCGGCATATATCTCCCATTCTACATATTTCTCTTCTGCATGCGGCTGCCGCTCCTGATCACCGCATTTGTCGCCTACTTTTGCGTGCTCCAATGGCTTCCCATAGGATCCTTGGGTAAGAAGGCCTCCTTGTGGGTAATGCTGGGAATTCCAGGCATATGGTGGATTGATCTTCAAATAGATGGCGTTAAAAAAGGGTATGCGATTGTGCTGCTGCACCCCCGGGGCTCCGCCGGGTATGTCCGCTACTGGAGCTCTAACCATGTGTTTGACAGATCTCTAGCCTCGCAGCACTCCTCCCCACTCCCAGGGCCTGCGTCCGTGATCGCTTCGTCATTTACTTCCCCAATCGACGCTCTCTACCTTGCCGCCATATTCGATCCCATATTCACAGTGTCGTATCCTTCAACGTGCAAGGTCCAGCAGATATCCCTAGTTCAGGCTATTCTTCGAGCATTCGCGCGCCCCGAAGTGAAGCCACCCGCAGGCTCGCGCCTCGTGGATATAGCAACGCTGATAAAACGGCACCCTAACAGCCCCATTGTAGTATTTCCTGAATGCACGACGACGAACGGCAAAGGCATCCTGCAGATGAGTCCGTCTCTCGTCGCGGTCTCTGCAGCAACAAGAATTTTCCCTGTCAGCCTGAGGTACACACCCGCGGACATCACAACTCCGATACCACAATCGTACAGGTCTTTCATGTGGAATCTCCTGAGCAAACCTACCCACTGCATCCGCGTGAGGATTGCGGAGAGCGTCTTGCTCCCAACCCAAACCAAAAGTACGAAAAATCATAATATTCATAACGGATCCCGCCTTGGACCCACAGACGGCCAGCCTTCGTATGACCATAATTACTTTGACGCATTAGACGCGAGGCTAGCCGAGTCACGCATGGATCTTGATGCGTCGTTAACGAGCATGGAACAGACGCTGCTAAACCAAGTTGGTGAGTCGCTGGCTCGACTGGGGCGAGTGAGACGGGTTGGACTGGGTGCCAAGGATAAGCAGCAATTTGTCAAGTTATGGACGACGACGGTCAAACGAAAATAGTACCGGCGGTTTTGACATAAAACCAATATTTTCCTACATACCACTATTTTTAATCTATATTTTCTCTCTAATCCTTTTCCCTTCCCTTTCCTTTTTTCTTTTCCTTTTGTAATTTTCATTTCATTTACCTGCTCAGCCGGCTGACACTGGCTCTCTTTTTTTTTTTTTTTTTTTTTTTTTTTTTTTTTTTTTTCATTGGGCATTATTGCCGTTTGGCTCACGCCGTTTTTCATGAATAGGTATCGGTGCTGTATGCATGTGCCGGCTGACGACAATGGAATTCATAAAAAGTAACTTACCCAGCTGTTTGTCTAGATTTTGTTGCCACGTTAATCTGCCAGGTGTGCCTAAAAGGCGATTGATCGCTGTTCGATACAGAATGGGCTGGCATACACATCATAGCTCGTTAGAGACACGGTCAGCCCATAGGAGTCATCATCTAGTTGTACAGTGCATGTGCAGTACTGCGCATCACATAGAAGGTAGACGAATCCAGGAATTCATCTCCTCCCACTCTCCGCTTGCATGCCTTGCCGCGCTATTTAAAGAAACCAGAGCCCGCAGATCCAGGACGAATTTCTCAGAGGTCGATGTTTCTATTTGCTCATGCCGCGGAACAGGCCAAGGGGGTTAACTAAAAGTTCTAAAAGATGCTAGCCTCGTCTGCAGTCCTGCTCACTGAATTCAAGCTCCCCGCGCTGCTGCATACCAAACGCGCTTAATCAGGGGCGGTGAGACGGTAATTTCGTTGCATCGGCAAATAAACCCGTAGGAAGGCATGGTTGTTGTACTCTGTAGTCAAGATGATGGTTCATGATGCATATTTGTCCATCCGCGGTGCTCGAAGGGGGCATTGCGGCTTGCGGGGCTCCTTTGTTAAACTACAAACTCAATTTTTAGGTTAACTAACCCTATATTCTTTAAAATCTGCAGTTCGGCCGTCATCACTTTGGAAGTTCAGAGTGTATGGTACTCAGTATTCTGTAATCTGTAGAGTGGGATTCGATTGCGACTTTGCTCCGCCGCGCCCTGCAAGGATTCAAGCCTTGTCGGGCCTTGTATCTATCCTTTACTCCGTAGTTGACCTGAGCAAAAGAACAAAACAAGCAAGGAACATCTCAACTACAATCATCAACAACAATATTGTCACCGGCTTGTGTGGGCAGCTCTGGCCATTGATCAACTATGGTCCGGCCCCCCCAGGCTTTGCATCTCGCATCTGCGGTTCCTCTTCCCGACCTCTTGACGGCCCAGCAAGTAAGTATTAGCTGAAGAACCCTGCCGCTACGTTGCTCTCTCGATACTTCGTACTCCGTACTGCGTATAGAGTACACAAGCTGCGAGTTACCCGTGAGGTGCAGCCCTCTGCCTTCACAAATGCCGTTTTGGCCGCGAGTTGCATGCTAGTTTGTGGCTTGTATGCACGAAGCCAACATCTCTCACCAGTCCATATTGGCTATTGGACAGCGCCCTTGGAATTCGGGTGCAAGCCCCAGCAGATCTCACACCCAAAGCCCGTCTTAGCTTCACCAAAAACGCCGTTTGTGGATTCTAGTCCGGTTGGGGTGTGGATACGGCTGTCTGGGACGAGCAAAAAGAAACAAAATAACCGCTATGATGAAACGATGGGGTCTCTGTTGACGATATGTCTTGCTCCTTCAGGGTCTAACTTCCTTTAACCCATGTCACAGCCTCACGCCATGTCTGTGCATTGCGGATGTCTGATCCCTGGCTGTCAGTGCGAGCGTGCCCAATGATGCCAAAGAATGGCCGCCCGGATCCTGGGAGGTTTGTCGTGTTAGCTGCGATTTCCGGCTGGTTGGCTCTAAGAAAAGAAACAGAACAAAATTGATAAATGATACCGCATCCAGATATCTGACACAACCCCACCAGATGTGATCTCCTTCCAACAGCTGTGCGGAATCCCTCGCTACTGTTGGTTGTGCTCCATCTCTCTCAACATGCCACCACCACCAGTGCTCCGGCAAACAAGCGGTTTTCTGTTCCCCGCTTGCGTGTTGAGGCAGCTTTGAGTTTGAACTTCCTTCTTGTCTGGCCAGCCTCCCACCTCATAGAGGAATCCTCTCCCTCCCCGTTGTGAGGGACTACTTATTTCTTCTCCTCTATTTGATATCTGGTGCGCCGAGCTATTGTCTATCCATGCGACAATAACAAGGACACCAGCATTATGACATTCTTTGGCATATCAAACCCAAAGGCCTCCTATCCCTATCGGCGATCCAATACACCCACTATCAGTGCTCCTCTTCCCTTCCCGCCATCCTATTACCTGCAAAATATCTCCACGCCCATATTAAATCCCCCACTGCTGCACCCAGGGCTTGCCAATACAGACCCTTTTCAACAGCCTCCTCGCCCTGCGCCTCCACCTCCTAATGCCGTGGCTTCTCAACAGATCCGGCACTCGCCTCATTTTGTTGTCCACCCTGCACCGCCCCCTTTGGAAGATCACCCTGCATTTCGAGATATACAACTCTCCATGAACAATGGCAGCACCTTCTTCAGTCCCGACGATAAGAGCAGTGGCGGTAGTCAAACCTTCATCCCATTTAGTCCCTCGGATTACGAAATTTCAAGGCTGTCTAATTTGTCGTCAAATCGTCTTCCTTCCATCCCGCCCAACTCCCCGCCCATCCCGCCATCCCGCTCGCCTACCCCCGCACAGGCCCGCTCTACTCCCACTTGGAGGCGCCCCGAACAACCAACAGAGCCTTTACAAGCCTTCGAGCAACATCCCAAATGGCATCATTACCACCGTCACCTCTATCACCCTTTGAACGACAGCGCCCCTACCACCTCCAAAGGATCCACCCGGGCTAGCTTAAACAGCGATAGCGACAAGGATCATAGCTCCTCCCGTGGATTTGTTGGGCTTTCAGATCTTCTTTCCGGGAAGCTCGACGAAGTCATCGCCTCTATAGATGGCCAGGAATTCAGTGGCATGGAGAAAGATCTACGTAGGTTGCTCTCAGTCATCGCAGAGCGTAATATGTTAAATAACCAAAATTTCCTTTGAAGGTGTGAGCTACCTCCCCCCTCAGCCGTCACTTCGTGGCGGGGACTCTGGCGGTGGACGTCCATTCCGAGTGCGCAAACGCCGTACGTACCCGTCCAGTATCAATTACTTCTCAAAAGTCTACCATTATGCAAACTCTCGGCTTCCGGATTCCCTCACGCCATTGCGCCTGTAAGCTTTTTGGCTGCTCACTTGTCAACTTACTCGCTAGTTATTCATCTAATTAACTGCCTCCCTTTGTCCCCCTTACAGTTACATTCCTACATACCCTCTCCTCTGCCTAGCCGCGCGCTTCTCGCAAAGAGTCTACAACAAACCCACTGGGGCTGAGCGGGAAACCCGGGTTGAAGCCGACTGGCGCCTGGGCACCAAGGCAATGGTCATAAAATCAGAGCCAGTCGACAACATGAACGTCATCGTCTTCGCCATCCGTGGCACGAACAGCTTTCGCGACTGGGCCACGAACATGCACTCTGACCCCGTCTCTCCAGAAAACTTCTTAGACGACCGCGGAAATCTTTGCCACGCCGGCTTCCTCTCCGTTGCCCGCCGCATGGTCAAGCCCGTGGCCTTGCGACTACAGCAGATACTTGATGATAACCCCTCACGAATCGCTTACTCCCTCATTATCACAGGCCACTCAGCCGGTGGCGCTATCGCCAGCCTGCTGTACATGCATATGTTGTCGGGGACAGTAAAATCTGAACTTATCAGGATGCGCGACTTCTTTAAACGTGTGCACTGCATTACTTTCGGCTCCCCGCCGGTGTCACTCCTGCCGTTGCAGAAGCCCGTTGGACCTGGCCGTGACCGGTTCCAGAAATGGCTATTCTTCTCGTTTGTGAATGAAGGTGACCCGGTACCCCGCGCGGATAAAGCATACGTTCGGTCGCTGCTAGACCTTTATATCTCCCCGGCACCTCCACTGCCCCGACCCCCCTCCGCAACCCCAGGGGAGAATATCTCCCAAAAATCAGCCTCGGCAAGGCTACAACAAAAATTATATCGCCTCGGAGGCAGGAAGGCCGCAAGCGATAGCAAACGCAACAAAAGAAGCACCAAGGACGATTGGGAAAACGACCACGATCCGATGCCTACAGTAGTATGGAAGACGCCGCCATCGTCTCTTTGCACTGCGGGGAATCTGATCCTTCTTCGCGGAGGCGATATGGAAAAACAGAAAAATAATTTGCAGGATGGGGTTTATGCTGAAGCATTTCTAATGAAAGATGACGATTTGCGAGACGTAGTATTCGGGGATCCAATGATGCATATTATGGAGCTCTATGAGCAGCGAATTGAGATTTTGGCCACGAATGCGGTGACGGCGCGGTTTTCGCTACGGTAAGTACGCCTCTTGAGGGGAGTAAATTCATTTTGGACTGGGATTGGGGTTATTATTGGAGTCTTCGGGGGAATATACCACTATAATAGATCGGTCTTTCAGCATCCCTTTACCTTGTCCTTTTATTCTATTTTATTTTATTTATATATTTATTTTGGTATTTTTCTTCATTCTCTTCATACCTCCCCTTCTCTCTTTCATTGGGCGCGACTTGCCGCTTTTTACCCATAGTTTTATTTATTTATTTATTTATTATTTTTTTTACCTGCCCTGATGTGTACTTTAAGAATTCACTCATTTGATTGCCATCTGTCTCCTGGTGCATATCCCTTCATACCCCATTTGTTCACGCCCACAAATACCCCGGAATGGTAATATCCCCTGCAACACTTGACAGCTTAATGCAGTCTGAAGTGAAAACAGAGAAGGGCGTCTCGCCATTCTTCTCCTAATTTATCTCTTTACCTCCTATTTTCTTGTACATTTTGTTTTATGTCGCCTCCTACCTAGAAGCATTTTGGCTGCATGGGTTGAGTATGTACTAGACTTTCTCGAGGCCCAACTAAGACAGGCAGATATGATTGTTTCCCGAAAGCGTTGATTTCTCAGCGCAAAGCATTTCTCTTTAGAGCCCCGTTTATTAGATACATGTATATACAAGTGCGTTGGAATGGCGTTTAGAGATGTGATGTGATGTACTCCGCTCGAGTCCAAGAGAATATACCATATCCAGCGAGAAAAGTTCAGAGGGACGCTCTTCATGATCCATGTTGACAGTCAACAACTTTTGGAATCTATCCCCTCGCATGTTTTTAAATTAGCTTCAGGATAAAGAACCCAACAGCTAGTGTTCCAATAACTGGCCCCGGTTTGCACTAGAATTATAGAAAAATTCCGGAATCGATATCTAGTGAATAAATAGATATCTGGGATATAGTCAAAGACGAGTCTAAAAAGAATTAAAAAAAAATAATATAAAAGAAAAAAGAAAAAAAAAAAAAAAAAAAAAAAAAATTTAAGAAAATGCAGTGATGCAGCGGAAAGGAGGTTTCTATAATGCGTCGGTGATGCATCCGTGACTTGCGTCCTTGACAGATCTGTATGGCGTTGTGCTATTAGCTGCGGTAATTCCTCTTATATATAAACGACGAATACAACGAGATGAAAGACATAAAAAAGGAAAAAATCAAATACACACCTAGCATATTTTCCCAGCGTCCCTCTCATTTTCATTCCCGTAACGGGATTTAGTCCTTTACTCTCCCTATCGGCCCATTCCTTCCTACGCTGAGCTAGGATGTGTTCGGAGACGTCAAGGTCGAGCAAACGTTTTTCGGCGTCAATGGTGATGACATCGCCATCGTGGACGAGCGCAATAGGGCCCCCGACTGCGGCTTCGGGAACGATGTGGCCGATCAGGAAGCCATGAGAGCCACCACTGAAACGGCCGTCTGTGATCAAGGCGACGGATGAACCTAGCCCCGCGCCCATAAGGGCGGAGGAAGGCTTGAGCATTTCTGTTGGGGAAGTGAAAACGGATTAGTGCTGGATGTGTCATAAAATTGGTTCCTGTTTCGGAAGAGTTGGATGCATGAACGCACCAGGCATTCCCGGACCACCCTTGGGCCCAGTGTAACGAATTACCACGACTGTCTTCTCGTCCTTCGAAATCTCATTCTGTTCTAATGCGGTAATAAAATCGTCTTCATGATCGTAGACCTTCGCCTTGCCAGTGAACTTGGTACCCTCCTTTCCTGTAATTTTGCCGACGCTGCCTTCAGGGGCGAGGCTTCCGCGGAGGATCTGGATGTGCCCAGTTTTCTTGATGGGGTTGTTGAGGGGTCGAATGATTTTCTGATCTGAAGGGAATTCAGGAACCTTCTCGAGGTTCTTGGCCAGGGTTTGACCAGTCACGGTAATTCCAGAGCCGTCGATGAGACCCTCCTTCAAGAGGAACTTGAGTAATGAGGGAGTACCACCAATTGTATGAAGATCGGCCATAACATATTTACCGGAAGGCTTGAGATCTGCGAGGAAGGGGATGCGGTCACTGACTGACTGGAAATCGTCAATTGTGAGTTTAATTCCGACAGAGTCAGCTATAGCGATCAGATGGAGCACTGCGTTGGTGGAGCCGCCGGTGATGTTGACAAGAACCATTGCATTTTCAAAGGCCTGGCGCGTCAAGATGTCAGTGGGACGGATATCCTCCTTGAGAAGGGTTTTAATTGCTTCCCCAGCCGTCAGGCATTCTAGATCCTTGGCTTTGGATTCTGCAGGGTTCGATGAAGATCCCGGTAACGTCATTCCCATAACTTCGATCGCAGACGCCATGGTGTTTGCAGTGTACATCCCCCCACAAGCACCACCGCCAGGGCAAGCATGTCGGATGATGTCGTATCGCTGAGCCTCAGTGATCTCACCAGTTATGAATTGGCCGTAAGCCTGGAACGCAGACACGATGTCGATATCGGCGTTGTTTTGGGTTACCGCGCACCCGGGCTTAATTGTTCCGCCATAAACCATCAAACTTGGCCGGTTTACTCTTCCCATTGCCATAACCACGCCAGGCATATTCTTGTCACACCCGGGGATGCTGATGTTAGCATCATACCATTGACCACCCATGACCGTCTCAATCGAGTCCGCGATGAGATCCCGACTCTGCAAACTGTACCGCATACCTGACGTACCCATGCTGATAGCGTCACTGACGCCAACAGTGTTGAACTGGTAACCTATGAGTCCCGCCTTTTGCACACCTTCGCGCACACGGTTGCTGAGATCGAGGAGATGCATGTTGCAGGGGTTTCCGTTGTACCAGACGCTAGAGATGCCAACTTGAGCTTTCGACATATCCTCCGGCATTAGGCCCGTAGCGTAAAGCATGGCCTGTGAGGCACCTTGGGAAATGGGTTGCGTTACATGTTGGGAAACACTGTTGAGCTTCTTCTCCTGTGAGGACGAAGATGAATATGGGTATGGAGTTGCGGAGAGAGCTCGACTGGTTAAGAGTGTTGGGGTTAGAGATAGCAGAATTCGAAACTTCAGCGGTTAGCGGGAATAAAATACCTTGAAAAGAAAACTTACCAGGACAATGGGAAAAGCAGTCTTTTGAAGCAGTTGGGCATCCGGCCCCGTGCTTGTAATCGGAGCATTGTCGGTATTAGTAGTATATTTGAAAAATCGGGTCGAACCTAGCGTCAGTCAAGTTTTAGCCAGATTGCCGGCCAATTGGCGCACCACAACTTGGTAACGTTCAGGTCAATCGATCTCAGGACTCAGCGGCCTCTGCGTACGATATGTGGATTGAATGACGAGTATGCAGACGTCGTGGCAGTGATGCGGAAAAGAGTGAAGAAGGTGACGGATTTAAGCTCAAGCCGGCGTGGAATTGAGACTCAAGGCGTTGTCTGAGGGTCTTGGCGTGGTGGACTGGCCAATCGTGACATTGGGATAAAGGTCAGCCGGCAGCTCGTAAATAACATAGATCTCAAATGGCATCTTTAGGGCATCTATGAGGACTATATTTTCCAATATTTTGCCGGCAATGTCTTGTGGACCTGGAGTGGACATGATTCCCTCTAATCGAGAAGGTCAAACCTCCATACTGGTTGACAAACAAGGGTATTGATGAGATGTTAGAGGAATACAATATACCTAATTTTGAAAGCATATAGAGGAATGAAGAAATGAAAAAGGAAAACCATGGAAAAGGAAAAAGTTGTAAGAAGATTTTACTAAATATATTCATATTATCTATATTGTTAGAATATATAAAATTCTAACTATATGAAGGTGCTGGGTGGTACCTATGTGGGAACGTGCTTGCTTACTAGGTTACTGTCCTTCTGCCACAAGGATCGGCACACCCCACTACATTTCTGCCACAACAATATTTATGGCCTGGCACTGTAGGTCACCTCTAGACATCAAACCGAACATCTTTCGCTTCAGTAACCCTCTTGATGTCCGTGATCAGATCATCTGCGCTTGTGAAAAATCCCACCCCGCGCAAATCCGTGGTACCGCCAAAGTACAACCCAGCAAAGTTCCATGCGAATCCAGCACAAATGAACCACAATCTCCCGTGTTCCAAACTCAGAATTGAACTTTTTGTTGGTAAAGATAGTATAAGCCTTTGATTCAACTTCTTCCGCCCAAGCCCCCATTTCGTCCTGTACCCGAGAATGCAAGGTTGAGCTATCAATCCCCCGCAAGTCTTCCAGCAGTAAACCCAGTCGAGCGTCCAATTTTTAAAAACTTCCATGTCCGGATCAATCGAGGCAACTCCTGGCACATTTTCGCCCATTGCGAGGAAGGATATAACATACTTCGGGGGAAGATCGCCACCTGCTTTGGGGAACTATATATTTTATCCGTGTTAACCATTAGATATTCAACATCCTCATTTATGGAACCTACCATTCGATTTATCACCATAAGAGCGGAAAATAGTAGCAGTATTAGAAGAGTGGAGGGAGGGGGCTCACCTTATTGCTAGTAATCCTTGACTCATCGACCTCAATTAACGCCCAGTCAACAGCCCTGGAATTGCTCTGTCGATAGCCAGACGCGGCATATACCTTCCCAAGGCGCGCATCATCTTGGCCAAAATGAGTTCCGATTTTTTTTAAATATTTGAAGTCCAATATCAATATACCGTTTCTTCACCATGTATTCCGCCTTTTCTCTAGGAGTGACAAGGTCGTTTTGGTCATTTAGTCGCCGTTCAATCTCTTGAAACGTACTATCTCGTCTGGCGTCAATGCTGTTTCTCCATTCTCTTGCCGTCTCTTCAGCATCCCCCAGGCTCGGTGAATCTATCTCTAAGTCATTAGTCTTATCACCAACGGTGATTCCCTCGCGCTGCCAAGTCTTCAAGGCCAGTTGGCCACAGCCGTCCGGAGCGACCGAATGGAAACACGTAAGACCAAAAGTATGCCAATTCCCCTTTAGATTTTGGAGTCTGATAAAGCCCCCAAATGTGGACGCGTGATTTTGCGAGCCCCTTGGTCCGATACTGCGGCCCACTGACATCCCCTTTGTGAACGCGTCATCAGTGAGGAGCATTCTATCATAGTTATTGGCGGTCCCGAATACCTTTTCCCCTCGAAGTATCTCAACACCAATATATTTGAGGTGATAAATATCCAATATCTGCACAAGCTCTTCACGAATACTGACCCAGTCTTGCGTAGAAGCTTTCGACACTGTCAAGACGACTACTAGCGGTTTGGGACCAGACGGTTTACCTCGCCGAAATAATGGCAGGGTTAGCCAGTCCCTCCCTCGTAACTTTAGAATTATCTGACGTTTAACGTTATTATTCCAGATTGGAACGACAGCTTCGGATGATTCAACAGGGTAACACTCCGTTCTTTCAACAGCTCTCTCATCACGTAACTCAATATTTATCTCTGGCCTATTAGCACTGAGGTAGTATTTCCTGAGAGCTTCCACGACATGGATCCATTCCTGTTCGGACTCCTTTGCGTTTGCTCTTATGAGCGTTGTGATATTTGGCTGTCATGTCATTTCCGTAGAATTTTCGGTTAGATAATAGATGAAATGGGAGCCTTGCAGGTTGATCTGATACTCTTCAAGAAGTTCCAGTACTCGCGGCTTCAAAATCGTATCCCATTCTTGCCTTAGTGGGGAGGAGAGCGGTACTGGCTCCCACTTTGTTCCTAACTGAACGAGTGAGGGAACGCCAGCGCGAAAACTTTGGACTCGTACGGTGATAGAATCATCGGAGTCTTCTGAAGACCCTTGATTTCTTCGAGACCTTTTCCCCGCAGATCAACATGATGTGGCTGATCCTGGTGATTCAGGACTCGCATAAGCTTCCTCCCAGGGATCATCACCCCATGGAATGAGGCGTTCTGCCATTAGAATTGGGGCTATGCCTCAGGGTTGAGAAATTTGGAAGAGTTGAGAGGGAAAATAATAATGCAAACTGTTGTGCGTCCCGAGACGATGAGTTAACGGGCCTATGTAAATATGCGCAAGAACGCGCTCCTTTGTGATAAGATAGACAATTAGGCTATCCATAGCAAAAAGCCAACGTAACCATTTGTTAAGTGGTTGCGCTCATAGTGATATATATACAGGTCGGTGTGGTGGTGTGGCTCGGCCCCCAGCGGCACCCATCCCACCATCTATACACTGCGACCACCAGCCGGTTGCAGCATAGCGTGGGAACCACACCTTGATCAAAGAAAAAGGATGTGAGGCGAGTTAAAGTCCAGGAGAGCGTATTGCCGTCAGATGCTGTGAATTAACCTAGGGACAGAGAGCCAGCAAGGGGCGTCTGTTTTGGTGGAGCTGTTTAAGCCCTCTCACAGAACCTGCCTGGCAATGAGTTGGTATAAATGCCAGATGATGAAATGGGCTTTGATCTCAAGGGAAAAAAAGGAGACAAAGTTGAGATGATCTTGAAAGAGCCATGTAGATGTGGCAGGTAGGTATAGTGTCTGAGGCCAGGGTGATTACAGCAGCCTATTTTACAATGTACACACACCAATCATATTCATTCTATTTGTAATTGAATAGAGCTTGTTGATTATTAGGAAGTGCATTGCTAGATATCATCTTCAATATATATCATCACTGTGATGAGATAGCACTACAATGTAGATTATCCATAGTGAGAAGCCAACATAATCATTTGTTAAATGGTTGTGCTCATAGTGATATATACCCATGGGTGTGGTGGTGTGGCCCGGCCCACAGCGGGCGAGACCACTGAACCCGCCACTGATACACTGCGACCGCCAGCCGCAGCATAGTAGGGAACCACATCACTAGATATCATCACTAAATATCATCGCGAGATATCATCGTGAGATATTATCACTAGATATCATCGCGATATCATCATTAGATACAAGTGATAGATATCATCATTAATACATATATAGTTATGTGAGACCTGCAGGTCTTGGGCTTATTAATCCTTTCCACCATATAACTTCCCACTTAGCTAGCAATCTTCAATCAAGCAAGGCTTTACACCTTTC